CCGAATCACAGTTGGAGATGCTTTGCAAGGTAATCTCAAAGACTTGCAAACAAATGACGATCAAGGCTCCCGGCCAGACTTCAATCCTTTTGGGAAAAGAAAGGACAGGCCAGATAACAGAAGGTACCCATTTAAGAAGGGCAAAATATTTAAAGAACATACCCTTTCACTGGATGAGAACATGTCAGAAACAGTACCTCAGAGTGCCAGCGGTGACTCTAATGAAAACCTTGGAGAGCCGCCTGAGAACAAGATTTTTAAATGCTGGAATTGTTTAAAGGTTTTCAGGTCGAGTGCTGGACTACATCGTCATGTTAATATGTATCACAACCCCGAAAAGCCGTATGCTTGCGAAATCTGCCACAAACGCTTCCATACAAACTTCAAAGTGTGGACTCACTGCCAAACTCAGCATGGCATAGTTCAAAACCCGGCCTCCTCCTCCAGCTCCTCTGTGCTAGATGAGAAATTTCAAAAGAAGTTAATAGATATTGTGCGAGAAAGGGAAATAAAGAAAGCCTTGCTTTGGAAATTAAAGAGGAATAAGCAGGGTTTGCAATCTTCTGCACTCACCAAAAAGAGATCAAGACCCAACTTCATATGTCCTTACTGCGGGAAAGTATTCATGTTCCAGTCTCAGTACAGACAGCATTTAAGGACACATCCTGCTGAAAAAGCTGACCAGGAAACGGCAAACGAGAGCCTCCTCTACCAGGAACAGGAGGAGAACATCGAGCAGCAGGACACAGATGCTGGTGGTTACTCCTGTAGACTCTGTAATATGAAGCTGTCTTCTCTCTTTGAGCAGGGCGACCATGAGAGGGGCTGCCGACATGCGACTGTATGCCCCTACTGCGGCCTCCGATTCTCAAGTCCAACGGTCAAGAAGGACCACGAGGCACATTGTAAGTACAAGAAACTGACGTGCCTGGAATGCATGCGGACTTTCAAGTCCTCCTTCAGCATATGGCGCCACCAGGTGGAGGTTCACAACCACAACATGATGACAGTCCAAGAGCAGCTTCAGCTGAAGCAGCAAGGGAACAATGAAGGGGCGTCTGAAATGCTCAGAGAGGAGCACTACAGTGACGAGCCTCTAGCACCCGGGAGCTCCAGAGAGATCATCACGTACAGCGACTCCTCAGGTCCACCCATGTACGATTCAGATTCCTCCTCCTATGTGCCTGAGGACCTGAGCATGGGCCATCATGGCAAGCTGGTGGTGAAAGAAGAGCCCTTAGAGGAGGCTGTGAGTGAAATGGAAAACTCAGAATCTGCCAAAGGTGGGCTGGAGGAACCCGGTGTGTGGCCATGCGAGAAATGCGGAAGTCTGTTTAGCTCTCGCAAAGACCTGGAACGCCACCAGGAGCTGCTATGCCACATCAAACCGTTCATCTGTCACATCTGCAACAAAGCCTTCAGGACCAACTTCCGCCTTTGGAGCCACTTCCAGTCCCACATGTCGACTTCTAACGAACCCGAGGCCAAAGAGATGGACAGAGACCCCTCACCTCTGTCTCCATCACCTCCCACCACCCCTCAGAACTCTGAACACCCCTCCCCACTGGCCTCCGTGCTCACATCCAGCCAGACGGCGCCAGTGGCTGCAGTAATGGCCGAGGAGTCCAGCAGCCCGGAGCCCTGTAGCTTGTCAGTAAACAAGACGAAGAGGCCTGAACTCGAGCGGCAAGCCAGCAGCCACAGCCCCGCTCTGTCCAGGTCCAACAGCATGGAGAATCCCAGTGGCCCTCAGGAATCAGACACACTCTTTTACCATGCTCCATCCCTCTCCGCCCTGACGTTTAAAAGGCAGTACATGTGTAAACTCTGTCACAGGACCTTCAAGACAGCCTTCAGTCTCTGGAGCCACGAGCAGAGTCATAGCCACGTGTAAGCCTCACACAGGTTACAGTAGTGCATTTCTCTAGAGACACAATACTTGGAATATTAACACACCTCAGCCTACAAAAGGAAGACTTTGAATGTATAGCGTATTTGCTTGCCTCCTATATCATATATATAACAGTGGCCATGTTCATTAGAGGTGTAAACGTGAATGTGCAATCAAGTGCTAGATTCTTCTTGGAGATGAGATTATTAACTTGTTTATTTTCCTTTTCAAAATAAGCATTTATCTATTTGAAACCTGTTTTAGTTGTCTATTTGTATTTATCTATCTAGGTGTTTTGAGAAAACAAGGTACAGCGTTGCACCCCCACAATCCTTGTACCACTTTTGACTCAAAGGTACAGTGACAACTAAATACATTGTTTTCTCCGAGTGTGGAAAAAGTGCTTTAAAGTTTTGGAGGCTGCAGTGATTTAAATAGTAATGCTTATTGCTTTGTATCAGATATATCTCTTGGTGTGAGTGATACCCCTTAAGATAATATTGGTGGCCTCAATAATGTTTTTAATATGCACTTTGTCAAACAGTTTGATTCTGTAAAAGGGGGATGTAGTCCAAAATGTTTGCTTGGGTCGTTTCACTGACAGAGGTTCAAGTTTGCAAACGTATACACATGATAAATAGACCCAATAACTCTCTTTTTCATACTTAGCATTCCTTTGCATTAGTTCTCTCATATTTCAGTTTCACAATGCCTTTGCGTCATGTTGTGTTCTAGGCAGATTGAATAGGAACTTTGGTATAACAAAAAGGTCTATTACAAACTATATATCAAACACACCTCTGATAGCTGATGTCAGTACGCAGATAAAGTTTCATGCAGTACTCATTTCTCTTCCTAGCCTGATGAATTATATTTGTGTATACAAATAAATGAGAGAGTGCAATCATCCGCCACAAAGATTTTAGAAAGTGTTTTTTAGGTGAATGACTGTAAAGCACTTTAAATTTGAACTCAATCTGAAATATTTATAGCAGGCACACTTTTCAAATAACGGCACACTGCACTATAGTAATGCAAATAATGTTGAACTCAAATAATTAGGTAAACTATTTAAATGAGTTATTTATTAGACATTGTCACAATTAGTGAATCAAGAAGTTCACCACCACCCTGCACCAACAGGGTGATCATTAAGAAGCTTTACAATGCTTTGATGGCCTTATGCAACTTGAACAATATGTGTTCCATATTATTTGACATGAAAGCACAATAGAGTTTCAAATGATGACTTTTCAAAATGAGGGAAGCATGAGAAAGCAAATGTTTTATTCTATGAATGGTGAAAAAGTGTTCCTGCTTCATATAGATTATTATTAAAGGTAGTGTTGATTGTATTATTGTACAAGTATATAGTTCTGCTTTGGCTTGATGGATTAGACCTTTGTCATAAATTATTATGATTGCTACATTTTGGGAGATGTGGCATTCAAAGAGTGCTCGACACACTGGGAATGAGTTTCCCTCTGAATGAGCAACACCAGCTGCATTGTGATGTTACGTTCTTTTGAAGAAGTTCTGTATTGATAATAGTGCTCTTGTTTTCTTGTGATAAAACTTTCTGAAAGTTTCACAGAAATGATTAGAATTGTGTACATGGAAGTGTTTATATTCTCGATTTTGTACCAATTTTGTTAGTAAACAGAAGTGTAATCTTTTTAGTATTCCTGTGCTCTCACTGCAATAATGAATATTTGTATCAACATTGGTTGCATTATTGTTGCTTTTGAAAACTTGCATCTGTTTTGTGTTTAGGTTTTTCTACAGTTTTTGTGCTTTAAATCTGTAATAAAGAGTAACAATGGAGTATATATACAACCATTTGTGGTATTTAAATAATTCAGTCAACTACACTGCGACTCACTCACAACTTATTTAAAGCCCTATCACACATTCACAGGACTTTTTCTATCCATCAATGAGCTTCTTTCATGCCACTTAAAGGTGGGGTATGTAATTTATTTCAGAAACACTTTTTGTCATATTCCATGGAATGCTCTTAACATCCCGATAGCAATGAATATATTAAATGCTTTGACAATAAATACATAAAAAATGTAATCTGTGGAAGCCGTAGTACTGTAAAAAGCACGACCATAGCCGGCCCGGCTAAAATAACTGGATGGCCTACCTGCCTGTCAGCCTTCCATCTGTGCACAAACTTATCTCGTGCCCTCATTGGTCATGTGCGCGTTCGTGTGTGTTGGAGGAGGGGCTCTGTAAGGAAGTGGCAGATTTTTTCCGGTTGTGTATTTTCAAATTCTAGCGCACTCGAGCTGGTTTCTCCAAAATTACATACCCCACCTTTAACTTTGTCCTATTTGAAATGGACACATTGGAGCTTGATGTACCTTTTACCCTGATACACCATTCACTTTCTGGATTGACTGCATGGTCTTAGTACTTCAAAGCAGATACAGGGCCCCATGTGCAGTATTGATATGATCATAAATGTAAAGGGCCTTGGATATAGTGATACACACAAATACATTATTTGTAATATATTCCTACATTTATATAAAAAATACCTTCTATAATTAGGCAATTCGTTTTGCTTTTATTAAATATAATATGTATGATTATTGCATCATTTTATATATTTAACATATAAATATCTATTCATATTTAAGTCAGTTCTCAGTTTCTTCAATGTGACTTTGAGGGGAAAACCCCTTGCTGTATCCACTGTCATTTTAAAAACGGACACACACGGTATCCTGTTGGCAGGAGAGCCTGAGCTCTGGGATGTTTTTAAAGCTGAGGGCCACAGTGACCATTTGTGGGAGTGAACCTAGAAGGTGATTGCTTTTATTTGGAAAAATGGCAAACTGGAAATCCTGTCCTATCCATGTGTCAGGTCACACTCTCAATGAAACTGTGTGCAAACAGGAAGTGTTCACATGGATGAGGAAATCTGCTGAACAAGTCTGCCATACATTCTGCAGAAAGCAAAAAAGTCAGATTTGATCTTATAATTTAATTTTGTGACTTTCTCTTTGCCAGCAGTTGTTTTCATCTCACAGGTTGGGATAGGGTTACATCCTTATTTAGTTTGAATGAGTTATGATTGTTGACCATAATAACCATCAGCTACAATGAACAACATTTATTTTGAAAGATTAACAATAATTTACAGATTGGCATCAACAACACAACTCGAAGAAAATAAGAATTCAATTGATAGTTAGACTCATTTGCTACTGTGTTAAAGTTGCTTTTATAGATGTTGTCAGGTACTTTGGAAAGCTTTCAAAAATCCAAATATGTTTTTCAAATCGACAATACATAATCAAAATGCCTAAAAAGGTATAAGCTATACTGAAACCACAGCAGAGACATCAGAAGGTATAAGATTAGCAGGTTACACTGACACTACTTTATTGTAGCAGCAGTAGAGCTTTTAAATCGTGTTTTTGGTCATAAAAAGAGTTGCAGGCATAACTGTATATACAGTTCTGGATAGAATCATCCAGATGTTTCTTCTCTGTGTCTTGGAGCCTCCTCACAGTGACAGGGTGTCTTTGAGAAGCCTTCTCACTGTAGTGCTGACGGAGGTGCCCAGACAGTCTGTGATCTGGTAGGTGATTTTATAAAGATACGGCTGGACATCTTTGAGACTGGTGTCGAAAACATTGTCCACTTCAGACTGGGTGGGCATCTTTGGCAGGTATTCATGTCGGTTTATGACCTCGACAACATTGATCACCTTCTCGCCAAGCTTCTCTCCCACTTTCTCCCTGCAGATCTGCCTCTCCTGTTCATTGGCCAGGTTGACAACGTTGACCTTGATGCTCCACACTTCCCAGGGAATACATTCGTCAGAAAAAGGCCAGCGAGACTTCTTCTTCTGGTAAAACTCCAGGGAGATTTGCCCCATGCCATCGCTGCCAGTGTTGCTCAAAGCGTCCTGTAACAAAAGCATGTGATACAATCGTCAAAATAACAGGCCTGCCCAAGCATTACAGTCAACAATCAGACATTTGAACCACCAATTACCTTAAACTCAGACACAGCTTTACTGATCACTCTGTCCAGCTCTTCGGAGGACACTCTGACGAAGGTGAAGTCGATGAAGTCGCAGTCGATGTCAAGTGTGCCCACGGTACCTATGGAGTAGGTGCCCTCCTTTTTGTAGTGAAACTTCCCGGAGCTGCGATGCAGTAAAATGGTGTGCAGCAAAGCCAGCATAGCTTCTTCCACCTGCCTCGCCTCCACTGTTACTTCAAGAACCTCTGAGCGGCAATTCATAGCTAATTAATAAGTATTTCCATTTACTGACGACGACAGATGATGGCTGCTGTGTCCGAGCTTGATTATGCTCGGTGAATGACGAAGATACACTTTGTTTACCTCTACAGATGGGCGGCGCCTATCCCTCACGCTGAATTACACTGCATTAAAACACAAAATATTAGTTTTCATAACGGCTCAGCTGACTACAAATGCCACGTGTGCGAACGGTCGACTGGGACATTGTAATAAAAGCTAGCTAACTAGCTAGCTAGTTGTTTGCTAACAAATGGGACAGCAAGATGTGGTAATGATGACAGTGGGACAATCTACGGCAAGTCACGAGGTTCAGAATACTGAAGTAGTAACTGAATCGTTTTTTGATTCTTAACGGCCTCTTTTAAGTGAGATTTATTGTTGGGTTATACAGCTCAAATAGGCGTTTTTAGTTGGAATAAACGTTACCACGAGGTGTCTGCAGTTGGAAAATAGGCTTATTTTCGCACAACGACCGGACAACAACAAACTCTCTCGCAAACTGTCGCATTGCATTCTGGGACTTACAGTTTGTGCCACATATCCGTTTAGAAACGGCAACTTTGTACAGTCACACCGAGCCGCAAAGCGAGTCCAGCGGCAACAACTGCACTGCTCCGCTTTCAGGATGTTTACCCGGGACTCTGGTTCTATATCTGGATATCGTGCGGCGGAGTTTAACTTGAGACTTCGGAAATAGTTCCTGTTTAAAAACTTTGGTGACTCCATAGCTAATGAAGAATAGCTAGTTAAACGAAGCGTAGCGAAGATTAGCTAACTAAGCTAACAACCACATTGAATGGGAGAAGAAGAGTGTGCTGTTCTCTACGTTTATTTTGAACCGAAACTGTGTTCTAGGTATAGGACAATGATATAAGTATTTTAAACACCGTGCACAGACTTGGGACATATATACGGCTTTTTAAAGCTATTATGGGGCACTGCAACATGAATCACAATATGCATAGTTCGCTGTGGGGGCTGAGATCCGTAGTGATATCAGCTGTGGGAGATCTCTTTCACTGATTCCCCGACCGAAACCATACTATGAGGTTGCCAGGATATTTCTCAGAGGAGGTGTGTTAAGCTGCGATCATCGCTTTCATTTGCAAAGAATGTCCGACTCCGAAAGTTCCGGTTCATTTTTCGGTTTGGAGGATCCGCAGTGGTTATGCATGGTCACACTTTTCTTCGCATCCCTCGTTACTTTGATACTGTATTTCGTACAGTATTTCCAGCGTCAGGGTGTAGGGAAAAGGCAGACAGCAGCAGGGGACAATGCGGCGAAGGAGGAAGCCGGGGCTCTGCTGGGATGGGCGCTGTCACAGACGAGCTGGAAGAGTCAGTGGAGAGGAGCGTGGTGCAGGGCATTGAATGACCAATCGAAGAAGAGTGGGGTAAGTCTCATGATCAGCCAGCCACCACTCTCTCTGTGGCAGGCAGGTGAAAGTTAGCTGCGTTAGCATAGGATGTGACTGTGATCTCATGTATCCTCTCACATGGATAGTTGAGGACCCAGCAATATAATCTCCCCCATCCTTTGATTCAAGATTCAAAGGTTTACATATACACATCGACTAGACTGTGGACGATATTTGACATCTGTTTCAAAGTGGACGTCATCAATCTCCCATTATCCTGGCTTCTTTTTAATGACAGCATTGTAACATTTGCACCATCCTGCTTTTTTCCTGTTCCTAGGTATTATCATGTGGGAACATATGCATTGCCAATGTGATGCATCACAGCCCAGATCATTGCTCATTTGATTGCAACAACTTCCCCTGTGCTGTTGTTTGAATGTTTCTGTCCTCTTCCTCATCAGGGTCCTGTTCGGTTAACATTCGAAGATGATGACCTTGAGGCGTCAGAACTAATGGTCAGCCAAGTATCCAGCTTTCAAAAGTCTGCAGGAAAAAAGGTAAACTGACCCTTAAGTGTTTTAGTAATACATAAGGGCTTTTTCTGGGAGATAACTGCATTAATTATTATATTGTTGAGTGTTGCGTCCCCTCCAAACCACCGAACACATTGGATTCTGTTTTTATGGCAACTTCAGCATTCATCTGGGTTAAAGAAGCAGACACTTACGTATTTTTTATTTCCTTGTTTGTATACTTAAATACAAAAATAATTCTTCAAGTCAATATCCCCTTATCAAATTGAGTGGAAAAGCACCACCAGTGCTGCATTTAAACTAACATAGACAAGCACCAACTCAAACACTTCCCTCATTAACTTGCTAATTAATCGGCATAGCCTTTTTTCCTGTGTCCACATGCTCACTAAAAAATCCAGCGAGACTATAAATGAATACCCCTGCTTAAAAAAGATTTGAAGAACTTGTATGATGCTTCAGTCATTCAGATGATGTTCCAACCTGCTACAGACTGTGTGCAAAACAAGCTGCCAGTGGAGGGCTTTTATTTTTTGACGGTTCAGATAGGGACTTGCTGTGTTGCTGGCCTGATTGGCTTTGCAGGAATCCCAATGCAAACTCAGCCATTTCTTTCTTTGTGACCATCATGTTATGGAGCGAAATACCAGGTGCTCTGTTGGGGAATGCAGGGAGTTTAATGAGCAGAGGCTTAGGCGCCGTTTACACGAGGAGAAAACTGCTTGTATCTGCATAGTTTCGCGTGCGTATAGCCCTATTATTTACACGAGGCCGATAGAAACTGACCCCACAAACGATAACGGGTCCCAAGGTGGATAGATTTGCAAACGAAACGCTCTGGGGGGTCAACCGAGTCCGTGTAATCACCTCTATACGAATATTTCCTGAAAAAAATAAATAAATAGCACCTCTCCTGCTCACTGCTGTAGCAACTATCAAAAATAGCTGTGTTAATTAAACGCACAAGGGGTTCTTGAATGAAATAATATTATAAAAGGCAAACCAGAATAGTTAACGCCCAATATACTCCTTAAACAAAATAAACAGAGTCAGATTTCATGCATTGATCCATTATATTGACAAAGGAGGATCTCACCCGGTGTTTGTAGAGAATATCTCTCTTTTCTGAGCGGGTCCTCTCCACGGAGACGTCGGTCGATGCAATATCCACAGATTCGGTTTCTTTCAGTTAACTTCCCCGTAGCATTTATCCATATGCTGAGGAAATTACTATATCCCGCTGAATACCAGCAATCACCACACACACTTCCTCCTGTCAGTAGCTACTGCTAGTGCTACTGCTACTGACCATGCTACAGATATTAGTGCAAAAATATACAGCTCCTCTACCACAACCATCAGCAACAAGTGGACATGGAGAATTACATGAACTACATGTTGCTAAATACACGGCGGGGCATGAACAGAAGGGTAGCCATGGCAACATTGCGGCGGGGGCTGCTGGGGTTGCTCTTCTTCGCTGCTTTTGGTGTATTTTGGCGGAAGTTACAGCGCCACTTACAGTCCCGGCATATGTACTACAGCGTTTCCAGCGGCCTCGTTTGAACAGACACGTTAAATGAAACAAATGCATGTGAACGGAAGACTTTTTTGGTGTGTGTGTGTGTGTGTGTGTGTGTGTGTGTGTGTGTGTGTGTGTGGTGTGTGTGTGTGTGTGTGTGTGTGTGTGTGTGTGTGTGTGTGTGTGTGTGTGGTGTGTGTGTGTGTGTGTGTGTGTGTGTGGTGTGTGTGTGTGTGTGTGTGTGTGTGTGTGTGTGTGTGTGGTGTGTGTGTGTGTGTGTGTGTGTGTGTGTGTGTGTGTGTGTGGTGTGTGTGTGTGTGTGTGTGTGTGTGTGTGTGTGTGTGTGTGTGTGTGTGTGTGTGTGTGTGTGTGTGTGTGTGTGTGTGTGTGTGTGTGTGTGTGTGTGTGTGTGTGTGTGTGTGTGTGTGTGTGTGTGTGCAGGCGCAGCACTGAGGAGGAGCAGCAGACAGGAATGCAGCAGCACCTTTGTTTATGCTTAGGTTTCCCCTCACAATGATGTAATACCCAACTGTTCACAAACACACCCATCTTACACTCAAAGCAGAATGAATGCACTTAGAGGACACTTTAAAGCTGTTTTATTATTAACTCTATTACAGACAAATTCCTTTGCAGTGAAAATGATTTATTGAATGTTCTGATCATGCCGTTGAAAGCAAGTACAGATGTTCTCCCTTTTCCACAGTTCTGTGTGAACTTCATCTAAGGCAGATGCTTTGCTTCTGCACCAGTTTAGCAGAAGTCTGTTTTGTAAGACTGGTTTTGTTGCAGTCTATATGATGCTATGTGTTTCTTGCATAAGACTATATACACACGGAACACCTGTATTACAGGGCTGTACCCAGTGTCCTTCTTAAAACATTTTTGAAGCTTTTATTTTTTTTAATGAAGCCGTTTCCATGTTATAACAGCATCTCGTTAAAGGAGAGGTGTCATGCTTTTCCGGTTATTACCCGTCCCCTTGTGTGTTATGAAGGTTTTTATGCATGTAAACGGTCTGCAGAGTCAAAAACCCTAAAAGTACACCCTGTAGGGAGTAAAACTCTAACACAGAAAATACCTCCCCAAAACGCCTCGTTGGAGATTTCTCATGTTCTTCCTGGGCATCGTGACGTCTGGATACCCAGTAGCCACGCCCAGAGCTATGACGCGATGCGGTACCCGGAACCAAATGGACCAATCCGTGGAGCCGTTACGTTAAGCCCCCGCTGATTGGTCCAAATGGACCAATCAGCTCTTCTCTACTTCATGCTATCTGCACAAATGGTTAACATTAAACATTAAAACGACCAGGCAGTTCAGAGAGAATCAAAGGAAGGCAGGCAGGCAGCTTTGCATGACATTCTTCAGGACGTGTTTCATTGTGGTGATAGTGAGGGTAGTCAATCGTTTTGTTGACAAGACAGTAGTGACGGCCATCTTGGTGACGTGTGTTGTTGACCAGAGATGTAGTTCATTGAGCGTTTCACACAAACAAATGTGTTACTTCACAGTTTTACGACACATTTTTTTTTTTTTGACTTGCAAAATTATCTTTTAAATTGACAAACATCATATGTGTAATTCGTGGCACAATTCAAACGGGATCGAAAGATAATCTTTCTCTCTCCATTGACTTTTCCGAAATAAGGTCCCTTGGAGGTCCACCGGAAGGGGAGGGACTTCACCACTCTATCGGAGCTACAACGAGCCGTTAAAGGCAGAGAGTGAAATTCAGTGAATACACGTAGTTTAGAGAGATGCTGTATGAGAAACCAATGTGAGTTTGGAAAATTGCACAATATAAATCTATTTTAGTATACCTCAACAATGGAATAATGATCAGTGGAAATGGCCATGACACCTCTCCTTTAAATCTATATGGGAAACAATAATTGTTTTTTTGTGGTTGTTTAAATGTCATTTATGGTGCTGTTAGAGTGCTTATAGACTGACCCGTTAATACAGATGCCCCCCCTTTGTGTGCGGTGAGCTGGAGAGAAGGCAGTCTATTTACTGTGGTGAAAATGTTGTTTAAAAAAAACCCTAACATATGGATTGAATCAGAATATTGTGTTGGACCAAAACATATTGTACATTTTGAGAATCTATTACAATACATTTTGAGCTTTGGACATTTTGAAAAGTTATTGAAAATGTTTGGATCAAACGAGCCAGAAACAACCTTAAGCAGCCACCACTGGAATATTATTGCAGTAATATTATAATACTAGTAGCCTTATATTAGTGTAGCCTAATATTGATCGACAAATATTTAGAAATAAATCTGGTTCTGCCTGCCTGCCTCATCGCACTCTGCCCTGCTGCATTACCATGTACAGTATTTACATTCATAATGATCATTTTGTGTTGCAGAGCTTCAGAGGCTTTAAGAGACGAACTGTCAATAATGCCAACTTGGCGACCTACAAACTAGATATAGCAATCTTGGAGCTATTGCGGCTAGCTACTTTCATTGGAAAGAGTCTCTAGTTTTTTGTATGTATATATTTCATATATCCATCCCAAACTTGAATGAATTCACACATTCAAGTAAATAGAAAGACAGCACAGCATTCAAGTGTTTATTGAGAATTTGAACTTCAATGTTAATGGAAAAAGCTCCAAACGTTTCTCTACAGCCCTTATTATCAATAAATCCTTCTAGTTCCTTTTACATGTGGATAGGAAAACAGCACTTTTACAATAGCTTATTACAAATTCTGGTTTACCTCGCCGTTGGATATGTTTTCTTGTTACATGGAATAACTACATGCGAGTCTACAACGCTGTCCCTGCTTTAGCTCCAGCATTCTCTCTGTATTTATTTAACACTCATGCCTCACTTTGTCTTCCCAACAGGCCGCTTGCTGCAGTGTGATCGGGGAGAAGCTTCAGTTCTCTGTCAGTGCAGCCTCCACAGCCATGCCTTCAGCAGAGCCCTGTAAATACACAGTGTGTATCGCTCCACTGGAGCTGCAGGTAAATACTCTTTAGTTCCTTCTGAGGCATGTGTTTAAGTTTCATGAAAGTAAACAATACTTAGTTGTATCTACTCGTAAATATCCACTTAGCTCTGAGGCATTTGAAAGCAGACACTCTTTGGATGTCAATATGGTTTAGTTTATTGGGAGGTTTTATTGAACATCAAGTGCTGCCCTGTGCTGGCTCACTGCGGGCCTGGCAGGAGTCTTGGATTAAATGGTGGGGTGTCTTTCTGTGCTTGGCAAATGTCAAGAAGACCTAAAATAAAAATCACTGTCAGACCCACCTCCAAAGTTAGCCCTCTTTGTCTACATTGACATTCATCAAGGGCCTGTAGAGAACCATTGATACACTGAAGTTATGACACAAATGACTAAAGATGACCTTGTCTTCATCTGAACATTGCAGCAATTCATTTTATTTATCATCCCAAAAGGTGAATCATGGTCTTTCCAAACCCTCTTTATGCGTCCGACTCGGATGCGGTATTTAAGTGAAGTGAGTGAAAGGTTGTGTGATGGGATATGTAACAGCTTGTGTGCATTAAGCTGTGGTAAGCTTTCCTCCTGTTCTTACTTTCAGTGTTAAATCTGCACCAAAGTATGTATTCAAGCAGCTATACAAGCTAACCCAATTGTGTTAAGGCTATTTTTAAAGAGATAAGTTGCTTGTCGTCACCCACCCTGATCTCATTGTGCCATAAATACAACTTGAGTGAGAGACTCAGGAGCTAAAGTCAGGATTAGAGCCAGGGTGCTTTTGTTTTGGTTGGGATCAGTTGTTGCGGCGGGAACATAAAGGAAGCCTCTTTTCACTATAATTGTTTCAGCTTAGTCAGAGAGGCCTTTCAAATGTCTCCAACCATCCACTGGAACATTTGTTAGCTTTTCACTCTGATCCATGCTAGAATAGTCCTGGCCCGTCATGTTAGGGGTGCTGGGATATGCGGACCAGAGGCCTCTGGTATTTACAGTGCAGGGACACAGCAACGCACCCGGTGAACTGTGGTGGGCCGCTCAGTGTACTTTGTCTTTAACACACGGCTGCATCACATGGTCTGCTGCATGTGCTGAAGGACACACATGTGACATGCATCATCCCAAAGGAGTAGCACCACTTTAAAGGTCCCATGTCATGCTTTTCCCGTTATTACCCGTCCCCTTGTGTGTTATGTAGCTTTTTCTGCATGTAAACGGTCTGCAAAGTCACAAACCCTCAACGTACACCCTGTAGCGAGTAAAACTCTAAAGGCCCTGACACACCAGGCAGTCACCAGAGAACTCGCCGACACCGACAGTTGCATCGGCGAGTTCTCCTGCGTCTTGGCCATGTGTCGCACTGGAACACACCGCAAAGACTTCAGCCGAGCACGTACGAACTGCGCATGCGTGAGTGGCAATAACTCTCCTTACCAGCAGGCGGCGGTAGTGTGTATTTGTCATTCAAAATAGGCAACAACCGGAAGACAGAGAAGAAGAACAGACTGATATAAACAAACAAATAGCGTGTGCGTTCCATTTTCACTCTCGTCCATCGAAAACATGTTTTAGAATATAAAAATACATGAATGATGAAATGAGCACATAAAGTGCAGACATACTATAAAATCACAGTTAATAGACCTGCATCTGATGATCGCAGTGTTCTGGCGGGTGTGTAGTTTATTGAGTCAGCAATGTAGTAATGTATGTAATGTAATAATGGCCACTTCTTGTTAAATTTACATTTCCATGTGATGCTTTTATCCGAGGCGACTCACAATAGGTAAATGAACAGCAGTAGACAGTATCTCATGTACTTAGACACTGTACTTAAGGACAATGTTGAGGTACTTGAGACTAATCCTGCAACTTTATACTGACAAATAAACCGATGAGATGAAAAACCGGACTTGACCAAACAAATCACGGAGCTCTCAGCAGAGGACAGCCGGGGACGCTCCCGCCGATATCAGAGATGTCCCTGCTATGTGTGGGAGGTAAGAGAGGACATTTAAGGGCTATGTTTGATGTCTTTAAGTATCACCTGCTGGGGTTTAGCTGCTGTCCTGTGCCTTCTTAAATCGTTTGTTTACGTCCCTCACTTCCGTTTCGCTTCTCATTTGCTAGCTGAACAGCTGATCAGAGTGGTTTCTTGGCCCGATAGCTTGTGTTTGACACACGTCGACCGTGAAAGGCCAAATAAGGCGTGTCACGGCCGAGGGTTCGGGACACACCAAATTGACTTTGGGCGACAGGGCACGCTTCGTCGCCAGACAACGGAAGACGGCCGATGTCGGCCTGGTGTGTCTGGGCCTTTACACAGAAAAGACCTGTCTATGCTGCCCCAGAACGCCTCGTTGGAGATTTCTCTTTTTCCATTTTTTCTTCCTGAGTATGGTGACGTGACCATACCCAGGTCCAAATGGACCAATCTGTGGAGCTCCTCACACACACACACACTCACTCAGCCTTATCTGTTCTCAGCCGCGCTACTCCGCGGAGTTTCGCCGGCACACACCTTATCTTTTCTCAGCCTCGGCTCCGTGGATCTCCACTCACAGTTCGCCACACACTCACGTGTGTGTGCTCAGGCTGAGTCTCGCTGTCTCGCAGACCCCACGCAGCAGCCAGGAAACGACACCAGTAATCCAGCTCACACTGTCCGCTCCTCGCAGCAGCGAGCCCCGCAACGTCCCGCCAACACGGCCCCCAGACCCCACGCAGCATTCTCATCTGTTTGTCATTGCTGGTGTCCTTTTCTGGTTGCTAACAAACGCCATTGTAACACATAATCACACATCAGAGCACAGTGGGCTCATAGGGGGGGGGGGGGGAGCTCCAACAAGGCGTTTAGGACAGAGAGTGAATACACATACTATACAGAGATGCTGTATGAGAAACCAATGTGATTTTGGAAAATTGCACAATATAAATCTATTCTAGTAGACCTCAACAATGGAATTATGATCAGTAGAAATGGCCATGACATGGGACCTTTAAAGGAATACTACACCCTTAAATGACATTACATTACATGCTACTTGTTAGACGCTTTTATCCAAAGTGACTTACATACTCAATACTGTGGGCAATCCCCACAGGAGCAATTCAATTACCATTTATATATAAATGACTCACCACTCTTGAACTCCTGAGGAAAAGGTTTCAGTCACATGCCTCCACAGTGAGAGAAGAGCCAAAACACAGAGGAAAGTCTTGATGATTTTAAATAAATTAGGATTTAATAACTGCAAACTATAGAAAAAACAAGTCAACTCTTTCCTTTAAAGGAGACACTTAACGAGGAAGCCGCGTTTCTGTTGAAACTGCAAAATGTCCATGTCTTGGGCAAATTGGAGACATTCAATGTACATGGGGGTTAATGCATCTTCCCTCGCTCGTCTGCTGATGGTGCAGAATGCACGGCTGTTAACTGGCATATGCAAACATGAGCACATTAACCCAATTTTAGCTTCACTGGAGGTTTTAAAGTGCTTTATATAAGTTGGATTGGATTTGATTCCGGTTAAATATTATGTGTTTATTATCATCATCAAGGCATTTATATTTATATTTCATTGAAAAGTAGGCTTTTTCATTAAAACAGTTCCCCTCAATAGATTTGTGCACAAAAGAAAATTGGTATAAAGAAACGTGAACACATGTAGGCCTTTCTGGCTCATAGCATTTGATTTAAGGTGTGCTTAGATACAGTGCAGATTAAAGGAGAAGGAGTAGACTTACGTATGAAATAGAAGGCAGTGAGTGAGACACATAGAAAAAAGACACAAATAGGTACAAGATGGTAGAAAAAACGAGTTGCAGTATTTTAAAAATGGAAGTGAATATAAAGTATTGAAGGAGCTGGTAATGTTAACTAATTGTATATAAATTGGAAAATGCTTAAGTATATGAAAGTGGGTAAGATTTAACATTGCCCTCATCTCCTTTAATTCACTCAAACTTTGTTTTGATTGTTCGTCCACTGTGGAGTTAGCGAGAATAATACACGCATTCAAAGGTACTTGATATATGAATGTTGATTTTATGGTTGAAGTTATCTTTTTAACATGTATTCTGTATGATTTCACAACAGGAATTTATCATGGTTAGTTAGATCAGGGGTTCCCAACCTTTATTGTGCCAAGGACCGGCAGATACATTAAAAAAAAATCGCGGACCGGTTGTCAATTTTAACTGATTTTAATATTTACTCACCACCAGCAGGTAGCAACAGAGGCTAATTGTATGTAACAGCCTGAACAAATACTAGAACAATATGCATCCAAAACATATTAACGTTTAAAAAAAGAACCGGTGTCGTTTTTTGGTTTTTCGGAAAACCAAAAAACCGACGTTATTCCGTTTTAAACCAAAACGTGTGTGTGTGTGTGTGTGTTGTTTTCAGAAGATATTATGATAGTGTCGTTCGTTCCGGTGCACTCCGACAGCATTTAGCACTACATCTAGATTAAAATGCCGGTGTCGGACAGACACAAGCACACCGAACACACAGAGCTGAGCAGAGCACATACACACACACACACACACACACACACATCATGCGCCTTGGTGACTGACTGGACATCTCCTTCATAAAACTAATAAAAGGGGGAGTAATCGGGCAGTTCGATGTGTGTAGATGTGTGTGTGGTTAACACGTAGCAGCCTGCAGTCACTCTTAAGCTGTTCTGATGAAGTTAAACACAGCGAAGGCGGTGCGTAAAAAGGCACAGCTCTTTACCCGCTTGTGCTGCACTTCTCAGAGGCGGAGTATACGTGCCGCTGCCTCCTGATGCTGCAGCCATTTCATTTCATGAAGGAGGTTTCCCTTCTATAAAACAGCCGCGGGCAGCAGATCGTGAGAGTCCCGGACATTAATTCATAGATCAAGGCAGACTGGTTTACTCTCCTGTTTTGCCAATCCGGTGCTTAAACAAATAGCTCTACACCCCTGGCCGACATGTCCTTAAAATGAAGTCCGAGTTTGAAATATATCTCAAATAATGTATGCACTGCCATTTCCCCACATAAACATAACAGTCTGCAATCAAACGGTTGTCTCCTGTGCGCTCCTCTTCCTACTTGGCGCACCGGTAACATGCTCGTGCGCACAAGAGGCTGAGACCTTATAGGCTGAGCCGCCGAATCCCTCGGAACATCATAAAAGCCATTTTCAACGGTTTTCTGGTGAAAGATTAACTGGCTACTGGATGAAATAATATGACTGGTGGCATAGGTGCGAAAATTAAACACTTTTTGAAAAAGATATTATGATAAAATATTTTTATATATTTATAATTCTGCAAATATTACGATAAACTCACAGCTATTTCGCGGCCCGGCAGTAACACCTCTGCGGCCCGGTACCGGTCCGCGGACCGGGGGTTGGGAACCCCTGAGTTAGATGATCGGAGCTATTTGGATGGTTACAGCTTTTCAATAAGCATCATTGTTTCTCTTTTCACTCCATGTGGATTGAGTTTTATAATGATGGTAGCCTCCCACATAACACTGTTTGTATGAAGTGATCCGGGTGGGATCAAAGCAGCCTGTGATATTGTTCTTCTGGATCCATCTAAGCATTCTCCTGCTCTCTGATGAAGCTTTGTTTGGCAGCACAGAGGCCGTTGTTCAGCCTCACGCTGGAATCCAGGCATGCTGGGACATGAAGGCCCAGGCAGGTTTCTGTCTATTTCCATTATTCTTCATTCCATTGCTCTCTCAGATAGATGATGTACACCTTGCTGACCTTTTCTAATGAGCGTTTCTTGTTTGTCAGTCTGGAGTTTGCATACGATAAGTAGAGTTTACAGAGTTGACCAGAGCGTTAGTGTTTTATTTGAGATGAAAACTGGAGATATGTCATCTTCAGGGTTTTAATAAACTGATTTAGAATGCAGCGCATGCTTTTAGGAGAAACACCATTTCGAAAATGTTCCTGTAACTAATGGTATGCAAGATTCAATTCAAACAATCACACAAAATGTAATCTAAAGAATAATTACACTTTGTCACATCAAAGCGCACACATGAATCCCAGTGGAGAAGAGGTTGAGAGAGTCATGTGCTGAGAATAGGTTTGATTCAGTCAGATTGAGTGTTGCCGTTTAGGTTAGTCATCAAATGAATGCATGATATTTACTGTTATGAAAACTGTTGCTGTGGTGACAATTTAAGGCTTGCTTATATTTGAACATTTGAGTCATTAAACAATACAACTAGACTGATGTATTTTCAAATGAGAGGCCAAAAGCCCACAGGAACATATTTATTAAAGAAGTAGGTCATTATGTTCCACATCATATTTAGATAACCAATATAGACATTATAAATGGCAGTTTTATTACTAAATATGTGATAGATGTTAGAATAAGTCAAGCTGATGAGCACTGAAGGCTTTCTGAGAACCCTGGCATCATAAGGCATTTTGGTTTTCTCCTCTGTGTCCCTCAGCTGGACCTTCAGATGCAGGAGGCTAAAGACGAGGTGAAGGTGATCTGGGGGGTGACGCACCTGGATACGGGGGTGCTACAGGTCACCCCCACCCTGACCCAGGTAAATGGAAGTCCTCTGAACATGTACAATTGTTGAAAGTGTACCCTATTTTTGGTAGTTTTTGACCTGTTTAGAGAAAGTTATCTTTCGGTGAAAGACAGTCAATATTATGGCTGAACAACAATAAGAACTAATTGCAATCATTTCAATGACAATGCAGTTGCAATATGACTCCCAATACTAGACGGAATGATCCATACAAAAACAAATATCATTGAAATGTTAAATGAAAATGATGATGTGATTGTTATTTTTGATGGTCCGTACCAACAACATGTTAATGCAGTTCCGCAATACTTCATTCAGATTGATATTTAAAATATTAAGCCTTTAATTCATATTGAGCTTACTGTGATTTGGATATTGCACTAGTCCGTATTACAATTTCAATAAGATTTCCATGAATTGTGCAGTCCTAGTCAATCTGCTCCAGTCCTGTGGGACATGTCTGACTCTCTGACCTCTCTCTGTCAGGACCATGCCTCCTCCTGCCGTGCAGCGGCCCTGCAGCAGCAGCTGAGGGGGCTGCTGTGTGCGGTGCGCCCCTCTGTGCTGCTCAGCTGCAGGCCTGCTCAGGCCTCACAGCTCACGGTGAGTTCAGGATGCTGATGCATGACATCTGAACAGCTGCCAACGCACAACAAAGCAATGCAGACAAGTGTGTGCACGTCTGTCATCCCAGGTCTTTGATTGCTGTATCGTGTAATTTGACAGAAAGACTTAGGATCTGCAATCAATATTTTTGTCATAGTAATGTTGTAAAATGACAATGTGAAGGTATTGTTGAACCTAATCCTAATTGATCAGCTGAAACGGCAACACCCCCTGGGTTTACAGAAGATTTTATAATGAGTTTACCTATATAAAGTTTCACTTTAAGGTGCGTTTTAATACCCATAACTTCACTGTTTTGGTCTCACTGTTCTCATTGTGTTGCAACAAACAAAGTTTAGTTTAGAATAAAACAAAACTCAAAAAGCTGCTATACACTTCCTGTGCTGCAGCAGATAGCAGTTAGAGACCAGCTGGTAAACATAGTGTTATCGTTAGAAGCTAAAGAGACAGATATTTTGTGTGTTTGCGACTTGTTTCCACACCGGAGTAAGTTATTAAAATGTTCTAATATTTACTTTTATATCCGAGTGTCATGAGGAAACTAATTAGAACTGGTATCACATTCCTTTTGATGGCAATACAGATACTGGAGTTATGTCAAATCTCCGAAGCTACTGTGTATCTACTAAAGCATAAACGTTTGTGATCTCGTTCTGCACATGCCCTATTAAAGCAGCCACTAATGTTTAGATTTTATTATGCTTACATTCATTTACAAAAAGGTGTAATTGATGTGCCCGACCATGACATTACCTAATGTCACGTGATGCTGATTTGATCAAGCCTCGAAATTAACACTGTTCAAATGTTTAGAATTTTCACTGAAAAACAGCCAAATTGTCTTTTTGAGAATAATGAACCAGGACACGTTGGAAAATATATCAGATACACTCATGTTCTTTGGCTTTTTAAGTGTGTGTGTAGAAAACACCTGAATGAATATTTGGCTAAACGGTTAAAACCCTGGCTACTACTGATGCAAATTCTCCATGGTCATAAAGAAAATCCTATGCAAATCCTTGGTAAGATTTCAGTGTGTCAGCACAGGTGATTTACATACAGTACTCCCGTCTATATTGTCTTTCTCAAACAGCATGGTACAAATACACAGCACATTACAATGCTTGGGAGGCTTAAACAAGCTAGTTGAAGTTGTATTCCCCTAAAAAGTTGTATTTTTATAATATAATAATCTTTGATTTATGTATTTTTTTTATAGAACTTTGTTGCTTATATTTCAAAAAGCTGGGAAATTCTACTTTACTTACATTGTTGCCAATAATATTTCGCACTGTAGATTTTGAGTTATTTACTTTATTATAATTTCTCCAATAGGGTGCACGCAACAATGTGGTTTCACCCCCAAAACCCCCCCGCGCCCACGACTGGAAGCTGCTGGTGAAGAACATCCGGGTGACCCTGAATCAGGAGGAGGATGCTGCAGGTGGGTCTCACAGCTCCTGTCTTCATTTTGTCCACTCATGAACTGACCTCGGTCCCTTCTGTAACGCACATCTGCATCTTAACTCTGGTTTATTGTCAACTACTAGAAATCCAAACATTTGATATGTGTTTCATATCCGTCAAAAGTTCACTGCTACACTGAAACCAAAATACATTTAGTCTGTGAAGCAGAAATAAACGGGCCTCTGATTTGATGGTGGTGTCGTTCAGCATAGAGTGGTGCATGAATTAGTCCTTAAACCCAGAAATGAGTAAGCAATTTACCACGTTTGGTTAGTTTTTTCTTTAGAGTTTAGTTTTACAAAATAAAATATGTCAGTAAACACCCCACTCATGAATGTCTGTAGCCTCTGTGTCAAAAAGTCAGCGGTCGATAACGAGTGACTTAATGAGACAACTAAACATCACTGCACCGAACATTAGCCACCTTTAGCTTAGCGGTGGTGATACAGCCATGTGACTGTGATGTTGTTCCTTTATTGCCATTAGCTTTTTACTTCTTGCGATTGCATTTACGCTTAAGAAATCCTAAAAGTGGTGTTAATATGGGAGGATTATCCTGCTGAACAAATCGTGTAAATATCTTAAAGGTTTGTTTGATACAAAGCTTATCTCTGCTATATTCTAAAATCCAAAGAACAAATCCTATTGCTCTTTTTTGAGGGAGCCCTTGCGATGCTAACGTCCGGGGCGTCCTTCAAAAACACGTCATCACTGTATATTGACAAGCCTCCACAATAGTACTGGCTGGTGTACAATGGTTTTGCTGATAATATGGAGCTGATGAATAATAATCTGCATTAGTTATCTGTTTACCGACCATATTAACTCCATCCATCAGCCTTCTTTAACAAATCATATTTACCTTACACATGGTCCAGTGTACTTTACAAATAAACACACTCCTACATTGTAAACATAGCATTTTTTAAATCATTCATTTAACCACTTCCATTTCCTTGTGCTCACGAAACAAATATATATTATGAGACTTACCACGACACTATAAGCAGCCAGGATAGACTTTGAGAACTTTAAGCCTTTTACTCAACATGTCAAACTTTTTCTTTCATATTATTGTCAGCTCAGTTTATAAAGAAGGGTTTGACAGAACTGAACAAAAGAGGCTGGTTGGTAAATCAGCTTCACAACCTAAAGGTTCGGTTTGAGTTTGAAACTGTTGTGCTGCAGAGGAGTTTCATTCATTCTGTAGTTGTATTACTGGACTTCCTTCAAAATATCAAGTTAAGTTTATCCTATTTTTCTTATGTTATAAGTATTACTACTTTAGAGGCTGTCACTGCCTGACCTTGGTTTAGTTTTTTTGCCAACATTCTGTAGTCTAGAGGCTCTTTAGATAACGAGGCAGAGATTTGTTTCCCAGTTGGCTGTCGTAAGTGGTAATCTCCTGGTTAATGCTGAACAATGTTGCCGCTATATAAATAAGAACATGTAGGTCACTGCACAAAAGTTCTGAGAGTGAAAACCAAGCTGATGATGGCCATGGAACTAGACTAGGACAGGATGTTCTGAGAGGCTGTGAAACCATGGTCCGGTGTTACAACTGAACATCATCCACAACACATTTGTTTTTCAAGTGTCTGTGTTGAGTCATTCACCAATTGTGAGTCAGCGCTTTTCAGTTCTCTAGACATCCTATTAGATATTCAGGCCAACACTTGATGTTGTACAGCAGAGACATGACACAGCTTTTGACACTTCATTATCTGTGTTCTGCCCTTTCAGTGAACGTGGTTATACTTAGCTTAGCTCCACTCATGAGGCTTCCTGTGGAAGAAGCCAAAAGCAGGGCTGCTGCAGTGGGTGTCTTTAAGGATCTTGCTGATGCTGTGTTCATTAAGAAACAGCTTTCACAGTATGTGAGCCTTTGGCTTTTGGCTAATAAAGTTAAGTTGAAGTGATCCATGTAATATAATTCACCATATGTGCTGAGGAAGAGCTCAGTACTTGAGTCTCCTCTAACCTTCGCATAATTAATCTTTACAATATACGCTGACCTCCCTTCTGTGAAATAGAGGAAGTGACTAAGGCAAAATGATATATTGCATTGTATGTGATAAGCTGTCAAAAGATCCCCTGAAACATTTAGTGTTAGATCTTGGAACCCACATTGTGGTTTTATGCCGCCGTGCTGAGGCAGCATTATGTTTATGTTTTGTCCTTCTGATTCTCCTGAAACACGATATCTGCAGAAAGCCTGAAGGGAAATTCATCAAATGTTACGTCCATTTGGATTCAAATATCAGCTTTTGGCCCCTGAAGGTCAAGTTAAAAAAACAAACATGTTTTTGGTCATAACTCAAGAATTGATATGCTAGGGTTAGGGTTATAATTGTTGAGGTGATAACATTTTGAACATGTGGATATAAACTACATCTTGACTGGTTGGCAGGGGCATACAATGGGGTACATGTGGTGTTCCTGTGATGCTGACTGTTTCCTGCTGTGTCTGCAGGCAGCATGAATCCCCTGTGTGTGATGCAGTTAGACGATCCTCCACAGAGGTTTAACACCTCCGTGCTGAAGAACACAGCCAGTCCATCCTGGGACCAGCCCTTTATCTTGTAAGTTTTACCAAGCACTGCAAACTATCACTGTTTACAAATATTATTATCGATATTATCTTGAACTTGTCTTTTATTTTGTTTCTTTCCAGTGAATTGAATGGACGATCAAAAGAGCTCATCATTCAGTTAAGGAATGATGGACAACCTCAAGAGAGTAATGACCCAACTGCCTTTCATGTTTGTGTTGTATTCGTTGTGATTAAGAGTTATTTGATTCATGTGTGTTTTCATTTTGTTAGATTCATTACTTGGTCAGGTGTCGGTGCCGTTTGATCTCGTAAAGAAGCAGCCCAAAGGACAGCAAACATTTGCACTCATGACCAAAGACGTAGTGACTGGATCACTTACTACTGATGTAAGAGCATCATCCCCGTTATAATAGATTCATTTGAATGATCTTCTTCTTTCTGAGGGTTTCATCTGCACAATAGAACATTAACTGGTGATTTACCCCTTCAGTTTACCTACCTGGAGCCCAGTGAGGTGAGGTCCTGGCTGCCTCCCACCCCCGCCTCCAATAAGAGGGTGGAGATGGACCGTACTGTAATGCCCTGTGGCACGGTGGTCACCACCATCACTGCGGTGAAGAGCAAGCCAGGGCGACCCCTCCCACTTGGACTCAACACAGGTACAGCAACACAAACTGTTCAACAGCAAAGATCTGATAAGGATAACCTAATTCAGAGAAGACATGTCTCATCATTATGGAAGCCTTGAGGGCAAGTGAAAAACATCTGGTGATCTGTTATAAGTCTGATGTTTTTGTTTTCTCTCCTGTGTTTTAAAAGTAAATATGTAAATACATTTTTCCAAGATAATTCTATAGAAAAAGGGCCCTGTGAAACCAATCCGTACTTCAGGAAGCTTTCCATGCACTCTAAACACAAGGTGCATATTTTGATCATTCCTAGCTAGAAGAAACGACATGGCAGTAATGTTAACTTGCTAACACACATTATTTAGCTTGTGTTTAGAGTGCATGGAGAAATCTAAGCTTACCTTTTAAGAAAACCTCAATTCTTAAATGACTATTTAGAAGATGTGTTAGTGGTGCACTTCAGCCTTTTGTGGCTGGAATACGTTTCCCTACAACAGCAACAAACTATTTCAATACAATTCTGACAACAAAGAAATCACCTGCCAAAAGTGTTTCCTACCTGTTTAAGGTACACACGGAATCCCCCAAAATGGAAACAGTAATAAAAGGTTTATGTTTGATATATCTAAAACTTGATTATACTTTATAAATAATGTAATGAAGAGGTATAGATGAAAACATTTAGATTCAAACATGCAATGCAAAGATTGTCCCCAACTATATGTTTTGTGTGTCGATAATCTCAATTAGAATCAGACCATTTCATGAACATGACCCGACATCTACACAACAATAGGTGCAGCAATTAGTAAGTGTGATGAAAAAAGTTTCATTTTGAAAAGTATAAACAATAGTGATGGCCTGTTGGTTAGCAGACATGGTTATGCCTCAGTAGGAGATGTTTGGGAGGTGAAGCTAACCTTGTGCTCCCTCAGATGCTGCTCAGAGGTCAGCGACCATCAGGCCCAAGCTGTCGGAGCGGCGTGTGTCCGAGCACGCCACCATGCTGGGGGGCCCCGTCAGCAAGGCCCTGTCCTCCTCTGACACGGAGCTGCTCATGCTGAACGGCACGGACCCCGTGGCCGAGGCCGCCATCAGACAGCTGCACCAGTCCGCCAAGCAGAAGCTCAAGTCCCCGGTGAAGAAGAGCACCATCATCATCTCTGGCATCGCCAAAGTAAGGAACAGTTCCAGCAGAGGAACTCACTGGTTATTTTTACACTTCACATCAGTAGAACAGTTCCACTAACTAAACATATATCATAATCAGAATACTTTTATTTATATACGGGAAAATTGGATTTGAGTTTTGGGTGATATTGGGAAAATCGGGTGACAGTAATTTGTGAATTATATAAAGTAAACATAAAAAATATGAATACATAATATAAATCTATATATTTGTTTACATTTATGAAATAAGAAGTCAAAGTAAGAATGTGCAGTAACACAAATAAAATAGAATAAAGATCTTTATATAAACATAAGAGGTTAAAGTAAGACGTCCAATAAACGATCAAATAAAAAAATGGAATAAGAAAAATGATACGAACATAATATGTGACCTGCTCTATCGAAATCAGTCGCATTGACCCGAAGACACATTTTGAGTTGTATACCCTGTTGGAAAGAGGAGATTCCTAGCTTTCTAATGATATCAGGATTGTTTTTGTACTCCAAATATTAAGCAAAATATGTCACATTATATAATGACTGTCACCGAGTCATCATTTTGAGAAAAAGGCCTTTAAAGTTTCCTCTTCTCTGGAATCCATCGATCTGATTGATTATTAGCGGAGCAAATGATCAAAATAGTCTGGAGGGAAAATATTTCCGTTTGGATTACTGGTCTGGGGGAAGCTCGCGAGTTTGTGTGTGTGTGTGTATACGTGTGTGTGTGTGTGTGTGTGTGTGTTTGTGTATTTTTGCGTTTGTGTGTATTGTGTTTGTTTCCCGGGGAAAACACTCACGAGAAACACCGGCTGTTGTTATAACTGCTGTGACGTTAAGTTACTCCGTTCTCCGCTTGTAAATATGCCGTTACAAGCTTCATAGTTGTATTTATCATCTAAATTTGCCGAAACAAGTTTAATATTCTGAAAGCCAAGACTTTGTTTAATTGAAAACAGATGAAAACAAACTGTAACGGACCCTGCCGTGTTATCTATGATTACTTATGCCTTACATTCATAATTTCAGCCGGAGGGAGGGGGGGCTGCGCTACGGAAGAGCAGATTGCGAGCGAGAGGTGCCTGTCATCTTCCCTTCACAAGCTTCACAAATGTATTTATCGTGTGATTTTGGAAATAAAAGTTTCATATTCTGAAAGCCAAGACTTTGTTTATTTAAAATCAAACAAAACACCCGAACCCCGAAAAAATAGTTTTTTACGCAAATCCACGTTTATTTTGAAATGAGCCGTTGCGACTTCCGACTGATTTCGATAGAGCGGGTCACATATATGGTAGTATACAGCCAGGGCTGGCCAGTCTCTAGTGTTTAGGTCAGGGGTGGGGAACCTCCGGCCTCCGGGCCCGCGAGACCATTTGGTACGGCCCTCGAGGTCATTTATAAACACACGCAAAAAAGAAAAAAATTAAAGAAATCTAGACCGCAAAAAAATTAAACAAGCGAGTGCCTGTTTTTCCTGGCCACGGTCAGGGTCCTTGAACACAACACGAGCCTAACGTGTCATCACGTGGTATATGTCTCGTCTGACAGGGGTGCAGTTCTGCAGGAGAGCACCAGAACGCCGCTCCGGCACTTCAGAAACTGCAGTACCCATAAGGAGGCGTACACATGCCGCAGTTTTTGCGTGGCTGTGTCTTTAGTTGTAAGCCCAGTGGCGATCTGCTCATCTGTCATACCAGGGTTGCCAACTTTGGGTACCTGGCTGGAGTGAGATTTTGATATCATGGGTTTAATTCGGTTTAATTACACATATGCGCACGAAATGACTGCTATCGTGTCAGCAGCGGGACCTTAGCATATAGGATATATATACAATATATACAAATACACAATAATGGACACAGACTATAATGGGCACACAGTTTCATTCACTAATGAAAGTCAAACATGTTTGTTTCCACTGTTTTATTGTGTGCCTGTCGCGATAAGCAATTAATTGACTTATCGCACGATAAATAAAAAATGAACTCGATAACTTTTCTGACCTCGATAAATTGCCATTTACATGAGGATGTGACTAGCAGTTTGAAAGGATGTACTTGAATTATTATTATATATTATCATTATGTCAGTGGTCTAAAATGGTCATATGATACAACGGTGCCGACAATATTATCGTTTAACGCAATAATTTCCGGGAAAATGTATCCAACAAAATGAATTATCGTGAGAGGCCTATACATGAAACACACACACACAAACAAATCTACAGACTTCCTCCAAACTGCCAAATATATGAATTAACACACTCTCACTCTCATATACTCTTTGACTCTATTTTGGCCTAGTAGAACAATAAGCAGCAGACTTTTACTTTTTTATCATTTCTACTGGATCTTAGATCTGCGCATGCGCAATACGGGTCGGCAGTTGCGGCTCCAGAGTATTTTTGTTGGGTAATCTATGGTAGGGCTAACCCATACAGTGGTGGGGCTCAAGTCAGTATTTGCAATGTAATTACATACACGCTCCCCCCGACAGTGAAACGCCACGCGTGAGGTTTAGATTATTTCCCTGTCTCAATCCAAATTGAACTGTATGAAATAAAAAGGCACATTTGTCTTGTAGTAAATAAAAAGGGCGACCTGGAGCCAATCCTGCAATTTCCCCACAGGTGAAAGAGTTGACATGCTGAAAACCCAACCCCTGCAGGGGGGTCTGGGGGGATTCTCCCCCAGGAGATTTTTTGAAATACTAACATCAAATACACATTCTGGTACTCTCTTGAGAAGAAAAATAAATAAATCTATTACTACACATTTAAAAAAATTAATGCCATATTTTAGTTTTTTGTTACTTTGTTCTGAAAGCTGAACCTGCTGCTCCTCACAGAGAGAAGAGGGAAGAGGCTGTGTGAATTACTTTACATTGTGGATAAGGGTGGATAGCCCCCATTGTTCTGTGTGTCAAAATGAAAGACAGCCCACACACCTATCAATCATCAAACCGTGGGGTCTTATTTCATTACGTGTTGATTTCTATCAACACGTAATGTTGTATCGATGTATAGAGATGTACTACCGCAAAAGTATTCTCCGTCGGGACTTCCTGCAACAACACCACTCCGTTATCGTGATTCTGATTGGCCAGAAGACATTAGCAAAGATGTTCTATTGAGAAGACGATCACTACGTGACAAAAGTTTTCAAAACCGTTTCTAGTCTTCGTATTCTTGTTTTTGGCGTGAAAATAGTTTGGGCAGCGTGAGATTGAGAGTGAAAGCGTGTGTCACACGCCAGATGCGTGAGAGTTGGCAACCCTGGTCATACTGATCATACAGTCAATAACTTTGTTGTTATTAGCATCTGGTTAGCTAGCTATGCTAACGAATATAAGAAGCTTTTTCTACAACCAGTGAGGTAAAGGCACATCTTTATATGATCATTATAGTTATCAAAAAATAAGAGAATAAAGTAAACAGGTATAAAATGCTATATGACAGTAAACAAAAGTTGTTATTAATAAACAAGAATACAGTTTAAAAGGGGAGTGATTTGTAAAATATCCATAAAGAAAAAGAAAATCTGTTTACAGTTCTGTTTCATATGGGTGTTGAGAGATGTATCCATAGATCTCTTCATGTTGCTCTCAAAGTGCACCAGATTAATGCTTTTAACTTCAACATTTTAAAGAAAAATCTTCCCGGGGGAGCATGTCCCCCGGACCCCCCTAGAGGAGGTTAGGCCCCCCCCCCCCCCTCTTAAATCATGTTCACATGGATAGGAAACTAAATACATTTGCACACATCTTGTGTCCATATCTTTCTGTGTTGGTGGTCATGCCACACCGTGCACGTGAATGCATGCACGAGTCATGGTGAGATATCTGGATTAAGACGTTGCTTTTTCTTTGCACACATGAAAGAAAGGCAAAATGAATGGGCTGTGATTTTAGTATTTTTAAGCAGAGGTCAATCATTTGTACGACCCTCGGAGGATGTTGAAAAAATGGAAATGGCCCTTGAGAGGAAAAAGGTTCCCCACCCCTGGTTTAGGTCAACTCTTTTGTAGCGGTTGTGTTCCCTAACCTGTTGATCATGACAGAGGAAAGAAACAAGAGTCTCTTCATGTTCCCATGATGGAATGATGATTGAAAATAGGCTTTTAAGTGGAAAACAGTTTGGCTCCTGCCAGTCATAATGACATTAAAGGACAGGTGGACACAGGTCATTATATCTGCTAATGCAAATAGTTGGGTCATTCATGATTCCAGAGGAAGTATTTGCATCATAGGCAAATGTTAAACAAAGGAAATCCTGCTAAACTAGCAACTGATTTTGATAATGGGGTTGTGCTTTATTACCCAGACGCCCTTGTCTCAGGATGATGAGCTGGCTCTGATGGCGGGCTACGCTGCAGCGATGGACGCCTCCATGTCCGAAGCCAGCTCCACTCAGGATGTGACGGCTGCCATGGCCTCAGGACCCAGCAGCCCTCCAGACAGCTCCGAGCCCCAGGGGGGCCCCAGTGGGATGGGCAGGCCCCCGGAGGACTGGGAGAGCCAAACAGGAGAGGAGCTGGAACACACCTCGCTGTCCATGTGTGTGTCTGAGGCCAGCTGCAAGAAGAGACGAGGTGAGAGCTCTCAGAGCACACTGTCAGGATAGTAGTAAGAGGACAGTTATCATAAATATAATGCATACAACTTTTAAAATGCTGCTTAAATATCCTGGAATCACTTAACACACATCTCTTTCTAGCGTATGTCTATTTTATTTTGTTTTTAAGATGATCCCGTTTCATTTACTCGTAAGGATTCTATTATATTCTCATTATATAATAATGAGAATTCACCATGATCAACTTATTGCGTGTGCTTTTGATCAAAATGGATAAATCCCAATGTATCCCTACCACTGACTACCTGAGGCCACTTGTAAATGTGGACATGGTGACATATCTTTATAGCCGATTATTTTATAAATGATTATAATTTAAATCTCCAAAATCATATTTCTTGCTCCTCGATGATGCAGTTTGTTTTTGTGTTCTTTTCTCTCTTCCCTTCTTACGGTTTGATCCTTTCCTTTTAAACTGCCGTCTCAGAGGAGAGCAGTGCTAAGCTCACATTATGTCCTGATGAGTAAGTTCCTTCACCAGTTACTTGTAGTATCCTTGGTACTCTAGTATGTGTAGTAGTATCCTTGGTACTCTAGTATGTGGAGTAGATTAAGTAGTTATTCTAGAATGTCAAGATTATTTTAAGTTTATGTCAAGTAATTTAGATAATACTAAATCATGTAGTTGATAGATTTTAGAACTTTAGAATACCTGTTGTGGGGTTGCACAGTATTAACATGTATTTTGAGATATTCACTAACAATATGATTTATTGTATCAAAGGTAAGGTATTGTAGCCTCGGACTTCCAGAAGATCACTCTCACGATTTTAGTCTCTAATATCAGATTAAGTGGTTGGATTACAAATCTAATGGCGCATTTCCACTGCAGGGCCTAGCACGGCTTAGAACGGTATAAAAACACAAAAAACACAAAACCAACATCAGCCGTTAGCACTCAGAGCTCACAGCTCAGAAACTGGACAAAAGTTAAACAAGTACACACCACAGACTGTCTGTGTCATGGTGAATACAGTCGCTGGTTTATTTATGTCTGTATAGGCCGTTGTTGTGAGTGTGGACGGTCGGAACATATACTGCGTTAGCTTAGCCGATCTCCATTCAGAAAACACGCAGGTTTTTTGCCTGCCGTCTGTCTGCAGACTTGTCAAAGCATTAATTCATGGTTTTTACTAACCGGTATCAGTATGTTGTTACTTCGGCATCATTTTGAAACGTGTATTACAATTAAATCACGGTCAAATATGTTCATTTTGTTGTAGTTGTAGCCCCCTTGCCAGCGATTCTCTCTCTAGTTTAGCAAACTCAGCCCTGTTGTTGGCCCGGAAAGAACCTCGATTTTGGAGAGCCAGAAAACTGTGAAAAAGTACCCGCTAGCCGGAACTACGCCTAGTGGAAACGCAACAAAAAACGGGCCGGGCACGGCACAGCACGCTTAAACCGCGCTCCGCGCTGTAGTGGAAATGCACCATTACACTAGATCAAACATTTCCTCATAACCTTACTAATAAACATGTTTGTTGTTTAGTATATTGTTCAGCCTTCTCCTATATGGAGAATAATGATGTAACCAATGTGTCATTAATTTGTTCTCAATTTAATTATTAGAGCTGTACCAAATAGTTGTAAGCTTCAAAGCTTTATTTTTTATTAAAGAGATCAGTGATCTCAATGGGATACACCTGGATAAATAAAGGTTTGAAATGAAATGAAATGATTTATAATCTTGCCAGCTTTTATATCTTTTCATTCTGTGAAAACGTAGTATATAAGTATTTGTGTGCAGTTTCAGATTATTAGCATTATAATATTTGTACTGTTAGGTTCTTGTGGTGGCTGCGTAAGATTGTTTCTGATAGTTTGTTTTAAAGGTCACCTTTTATGCAAAATCCACTTGTTCATGTCTCTTCTACATCAACATGTGTCCCCTCTGTGGAAAGAGACTCTGAAAGTGTCAGGAAAAAAAGATTCTCTCTTTTTGTCCTGATCCATTTATATAAAACCTGTCTGAAAATTAGCTGATCAGATTTTGGCCACTTTATGATGTCATAATGATTTTTTGGCTTGTGTAACCATTAGCCAATCACCAACCAAGGTAAACCTTGGCAGCACTAAGTACGGCAAAGTACTTGGTGTGAACGCGCCTATTGTGTTCTTTTTAACCAAATCTCTCTCAGAGGGGCGTGGGGAGGGGCTCCTTATTTTCATCTAAAGTAACTGACAGAGAATCAGCACTTTTGAAACGGGGCTGAAACAGAGGGGATTATGGGATGCTGCAATGATCTGTTTGGTGTTTCAGACAAACACTTCAGAGACATGTTTTTTATATATCTGAGAACTATAATATATTGATGAAAAACAGTATAATAGGGGACCTTTAAAAAAAACAAATGTAATGACTCTACAGCACTTATGAAATGTATTTCTTTAGACAACAGCCATTTAAAGCTCTATTCAAACACGTAAATATAAATGTTGAATGTAAAACTAAAATGACATACGGTACAACCGTTTTTAGTGTTTTTTTTTTTATCAACCTCATCGTGTCCACAGATGGGAGCAAAGCCCAGAAACTCCTTATGTGCTGAAAAGAAGGAGTAATGCTCGCTGTAAGGTTGGACACTGTGGCTGCTCTGTTGGTTCGTTGTGTGTTAGCTGGTGAAGACAGTGATAAAGGTTTTTCCAAGTTTGATTTTCACTATCCAAATCTGGACGGACCTTTTACAGACGAAAGACTTGTAGTCAAAGAGAAATAGAATACATTTTCTCCAACCCGTCCCACACACGCAAGATTTTATCACCATCAATAATCCACAATCTCCAACTAACATAAAGTCATTGCTGCTTTAGCTGTCTTCAAATCTCTGCTTCCTCCGATGCTGACTATTGTTCATGCCCAAAGCTTGATTCAGCCTTGAGTGGTGTCGTCTTGACACAGTCCTTGTCTCATGATATCACATTGTATGTTTCCTGTCCTTTATCCCCCTCTACAGGCAGCTTCCTCCAGAAGAGTGCCAAGCTGTTCTTCCGCCGCCGTCACCAGCGCAAGGACCCGGGGATGAGCCAGTCTCACAATGACCTGGTGTACCTGGAGTCTCCGGCCGCCGTGGAGCGGGCCAGCCGCACCGCCACGCTCAGCCGCATGCTCACCCGCAAGAGCAGGAAGAGCAAAGCCAACGGCTCTACCTCTACGGGGGAGCCACTTGTGTGACCCTGCTCTCCTCAGTCCCTCCTACAACAACTACCATCACCTCCACCTCAAACTTGCACTGGCTAACTCCCTGGCTAATTTACCCCCCCAATGTATACTGGGACTCCTGCATTGTAAATGGGAAAGCTGTGCAAATGGAAAACTCTTTTTACTGTCGTTTCCTGCTTCCTGTGAGAGACAGATATTCCACCAAAAGCAAGTGTGTGCATGTGTGAATGAAGGTCTCCTGTCTGGGATTAATGGTATTTCAGAGGATTTTGCATGTTTCCTTTATCTGATTTTATGCAACATTTTGAAGTCTTTTAAGTGCTTTTGTGGCCTTGTTACTGACAGAAGGGACTGGCTGTCACTCTTTACCTCACAGACACTGAGGGGGAAGAGTAAACTCTCCCTGCTGCAATCCGTACATTTCCTACGGAGGACCAACGGGACCAAAGATGAACTATAGAGTGGTATTTGTATGATTTGCACAGTTTTGGAATCTTTATTTAAAGTGCAATGACAGGATCTGCTCTGGTGACAGAGATTCATTTTGAAAACATTAACAAAGGGAGACCATCTTTTAAATGTGGGAGATAGTAATACGACTACTTTTTGACACTAAAACTATGAAATATGGTATTTAAATCAGTTAATTTGAAATCCTTGTAATGGTATTCCACTTATAACAAGATCAGAACTACAGCTATATCTACCGTGCATATAAAAGCTGTACAACGAAGCTATCCGCATAATGTCAGCCTTATGTCTAACATAGAAGTATAAGTCATGGATGATTGGCATGCACAGGGAACATGTTATCATGCATCATAAGTTATTACCCTTCCAATAGGAAAAAAAAGAACATGAAACTCGGCTAAATGTGTTTTTTTAAATGATATGCAACTTTCTCCTTTGTCTTCCTAAAAGATTCTTCCTGTTCACTGCTGTTATCATCAGGGTTGTTAATGTGTCAAAAGGGAATGAATGAACCTCTATGCAGGGACTGTGCAGACACTCAGCCATAACCATCGCATTGGAACGCAGTCTACGCTCATTTTATCTGAAAATGAAATCCTTTATTGGATATCTTATTGTTTTTATAAGATGTAGCTATGAACGAACACATGAGTGTGAACAGACTTTTTTTTTTTTTTTAATCCAGCTAATGATTGTATTTTCTTTTTGTGAGCAGCTTCTTGAAGACATTTCTGTCCAACATGTTAACTACTGTTTCTTTAATAAGCGAGTGTACTCAGAGAATGATGCAGCACTAACGGATTGCCTGACAGTTTTTTCTGAGGATGATGTCACAGGTGGACTTTTGATTCTTGAGGCTGCATCTAACACCACATCAGAGGACTGAAGGACTGTAGGAAAATGTTAAAATGAGACACGGGTACACCCATGTTCCTGCAACATCAGCAGCATCTATAATCAAGAAGCCTATGCACATAACATATCTGTTAACTGAGTGTTTACATTGTTAGACTATCTGAGAATTAAAAAGCCTCACTCGCTGTTCATGATACTGTCCTGCAGATACACTGTGGGTTGTCATTTGTCTTTTACCATTGTTGACTAATGTCTGTTTTAAAGCATTTTAAGGCCCAGATTGGGGATGAAGAAAATGTGATTACCTTTGCACTCTGAGTTAGAGATGAGGAAAAGAGTTGTTTTAATCATGTTCAGCTTCAGAGCCTTTGCTAATGGCAGCCTGCAGGCATTATCTACTGGTGTACATTCAGTAAGCAGTCGTGCTGTGTGTTTAAGAAACTACTTCCTGATGTTTTTTTATTGGCATATGCTCTGTGCACAGAAACGGACCGACTTAGCTGTTGTTGCAGTCATTTCCCTGCAGGGATTGTAACTAATATAAACATTGAGGTAATTCCTTTTCAGCAATAAATATTGATTAAATTACTGAGTATGTGGTAGTGAGTTCTCCCCATTGATCCTGTGTCTTTAAAACTACATTTTGATTTGCTGTTCCACTTCTGGTACTTAAATTAGGTTCTCTTTCAATATCTATTAAATGTTTTTTTATCAGGCTATAGCAAATGATGTGCTTTTGAGTGAAATCATATCTCACACTTAAAAATGCATAAAGTGAAATTAATTTTGAAGAGGTATATCTTCTAAAAACGAAAGTTTCAACAATTGCAAGTGTACTAAGATTTGCTAATTTAGAAAATCGAGAATTGTTTTTATGTGTTTTTTTTTTGTTATTCTAGTGCTGCAAAATGCATGTTTTCTTGTCATGATAAAAACATTTATTTGGTACTTTATTTGAAGAGCAAAATTATAAATATATTTAAATGAAAAATGGCAGACATTTCCACTTTAACAAAATTATGTATTTTAGGACTATGACAGAGCAAAATGGCTGTCCTAGAGTACCATTTTATTATTATCAGCTGTGCCAGCTACAACAAAAATATAGGAAATAATAATCCCTTAAAATATATAATTATATATATATATATATATTATTGTAAGGGTTCATTCAGCATAAGGACTATTTTAAAATATGTTACTTTGAGCACATTTGACTGAAAAGACTTCTGTAATTGTACTTGTAATGCAGTACTTTTATAGCAAACAAGTACAAGTGGTATTTTTTTCTAAATTATTTTACAAGGTTTTGTGGAACTTAATACATGACACAATTAAGAGGTATGTTCTTTTAAATATAGTTTTTGCTTAGTAAACTTCAATACAACCTCTAATTTCCTAGTCAAAGCTTAATTGAGTTGAGCGCCTACATTGCCCACAATGCACTCTGCTCTGTTCATTTCCGGTCCTGCGCCGTTTCTGGAGCGGATTGGAACCCGGAGTCAGGATTCGCTAAATGAAGGGTCTTCTGCAGGAAAGGTAACGTGTTTCTCTCTAAATGTACATCAGTATTTTACAAAATGGCGCCGCAGTGTTATAGTCCAGGTGCAGCCGCGGTGTCCGGGTCGCTCCGAGCTCTTTCCCGCCTCTCCATCTGCTCTCTGCCGGCCTCTGAACAGCAGCGACTCCGGTTTGCTGGTTTGCGTCTCCGGTCCATCCGCCATGCCGACTGTTCTTTGTTACATTTCAGTGAAAAGGAGCCGCTCAGATCGGAGTTAAAACCCGGCTACAGTTTGGGAGCGACTCAAATCCTGGATCCATGTCCTGCCCTGGACTGCAAACGTTAACATGCATCTTCCAGCTGTAGCTATACTGAAAAACAGCTCATGTTTTTCAGGATGCCTTCAGCCTGGAGGTCTGAGGCACTGCAGCTCCGTGTCTCGGGTTATGTGTATGCACTCCACACATAACCCGGGTTATGTGTATGCACTCCATACACATAACCCGGGTTATGTGTATGCAGGGGGGGGGGGGGGGGGGGGTTCTACTACTACTACTACTACTACTACTACTACTACTACATTCTGACACTCTTAAAGTAGTTCCTTGATATAAAGACACATATTTCAGAGACGATCTGGAGGAAATACATGCTAGTTGTCAGACCCTAATAATGACATGACATTTCATTATGTTTTTCTTCCTTTTGTAGTTTGGCATAATGGCTGAGCAGACGCCAGATGAGTTCATCTGTGAGTATGAGTCCAGCTGCTGCATTCACTGACAGTGACAGTGGTGTGTGTGTGGGGTACAATTTACAAACGTATTCACAAAGACAGGTACCAGGAGTATCAAATATAAATTCCTCAAGCTGTGCTTTAAAATGATGCAGGGGAACCAACATGCTCATTTTTTGTGTGTGTGTGTGTGTGTGTGTGTGTGTGTGTGTGTGTGTGTGTGTGTGTGTGTGTGTGTGTGTGTGTGTGTGTGTGTGTGTGTGTGTGTGTGTGTGTGTGTGTGTGTGTGTGTGTGTGTGTGTGTGTGTGTGTGTGTGTGTGTGTGTGTGTGTGTGTGTGTGTGTGTGTGTGTGTGTGTGTGTGTGTGTGTGTGGTGTGTGTGTGTGTGTGTGTGTGTGTGTGTGTGTGTGTGTGTGTGTGTGTGTGTGTGTGTGTGTGTGTGTGTGTGTGTGTGTGTGTGTGTGTGTGTGTGTGTGTGTGTGTGTGTGTGTGTGTGTGTGTGTGTGTGTGTGTGTGTGTTGCAGGGTGTGAGGACTGTGGCCAGTACCATGACTCTGAGTGTCCCGAGCTGGGGCCCCTGGTCACTGTCCAGGACTCCTACGTCCTCAGCAGGGCCCGGTGAGTGACAGCTCTGACTGCCGTGGTTCCATCCATTTCACTTCACAGTGTTCAATTCACAGTGTGATTCCTGCAAGCTGCAGACATGTAATCTGCTCATAAAGCCCCCCTTTATGAGCAGCCTGTGTATGTGTTATGATGTTTCAGACCTTGAGAAGAGATAGTGTGTGTACAGAGCGCAGTGCAGATTCTTTACTTTCTGGCAAACAGGCAAATCCACATTTTATTTTGCATAAATGCCTTAAAATATAATCGACTAACTGTATATTTAAAAACATTAGATTAAATACTAAGGAAATATAATGGATCTTACTTGAGTATATTTAGGTTTCTACGGAGCCCCTAAAGGTTCATGGAGAAGAAAAAAAAGTATCTCGTGCGCACGATATACTTTCTCGTTCGCACAAAATACTATCGTGTGCACGAGATAGTATTTTGTGCGAACGAGAAAGTATTTAGTTCGTTTCTCGTTCGCACGAGAAAGTTACCGGTGCGCCAAGTAGGAAGTGGAGCACAGAGGAGACGACCGTTTCATTGCAGACTGTTATGTTTATGTGGAGAAATGGCAGTGCATACATTATTTGAGATATATTTCAAACTCGGACTTCATTTAGGGACATTTTGGCCAGGGGTTTAGAGCTATTTGTTTAAGCACCGGATTCGTAAAACGGAAGAGTCTGTAAACCAGTCTGCTTTGATCTATGAATTCCTGTCCGGGACTCTCACAGTATCTGCTGCCCACAGCTGTTTTATAGAAGGAAAACCTCCTTCACTTCATGAAATCTCTGCGGCACCAGTGGCCTGTACTACGAAGCAGGATTTGCTATTTACTATTCATTCATGAAGTATGACGCACGCTTCTCCATGTTTGTGATTGGTCAAATGTTGCTAACCCCGTCCCTTTCACATGAACGCGCTCTCAGCCGGACAGAGAAACCCTGGTTGATTTACTGAGTTGATAACCAGCTTCGTTGGACCGCTTAGCGAGATCGCGTTTGTTAGGGTTAGTTAAGCCGGGTAACTCAAACATATCCAGGGTCTGTTGAACTGGCTTCGTCGTACAGGGCACTGGAGGCAGTAACGTGTAACTCAGCAGAATCTGAGAAGAGCAGCACCAGCTGCAAAGAGCTGTGCCTTTTACTGTTTACTTCACTGTGTTTCCCTTCATTAGAACAGCTGAATAGAGATCGAGGCTGCTACGTTTAACCACACACACTTCTACACACATCGAACTACCAGAGTATTCCCCCTATTACTCAGGAGCCAGAGCCCTGCCCTTTTGTTTTAAACAGGGCAGATGTGTGTAAATCCTTTAAAAGGGTTAACCCACACAAGGCTCCTGGACCTGATGGCATCCCTGGCCGTGTTCTCAGGGTGTGTGCAGTTCAGCTGGCAGAGGTGTTCACAGACATCTTCAACAGGTCCCTGCTGCAGTCTGTAGTCCCCACATGTCTTAAACACTCCACTATCGTTCCTGTCCCGAAAAAGACAATCATCACCTGCCCCAACGACTACCGCCCAGTAGCACTCACCTCCATCATCATGAAGTGCTTTGAGCGGTTAGTGAAATCATTCATCACCTCCTCCCTCCCTGACTCTCTGGACCCCCTGCAGTTTGCCTACAGAGCAAACAGGTCCACAGATGACGCCATAGCCCTCACCTTCCACACTGCCCTCTCACACCTGGACCCGAAGAACAGGAACACATATGTGAGAATGCTGTTCATTGACTACAGTTCAGCATTCAATACCATTGTGCCCTCCAAGCTGGCCATCAAGCTCAGAGACCTCGGTCTCAACAGCTCCCTCTGTGACTGGATCCTGAACTTCCTGACGGGCAGACCCCAGGCAGTGTGGGTGGGAAACATCACATCCTCCACCCTGATTCTCAACACCGGTGCCCCTCAAGGCTGCGTGCTCAGCCCTCTCCTCTACTCCCTGTTCACCCACGACTGCGTGGCCACACACAGCTCCAACACCATCGTGAAGTTTGCTGATGACACGACCGTCATCGGCCAGATCACAGACGACGACGAGACGGCGTACAGAGAGGAGGTCGAAAACCTGACATCTTGGTGCCAGGATAACAACCTCCATCTCAACATCAGCAAAACAAAGGAGCTGATTGTGGACTACAGGAAGCAGCAGGGAGAGGGACACGCCCCCATCGCCATCAATGGGACTACGGTGGAGAGAGTCAGCAGCTTCAGGTTCCTTGGGGTCCACATCACTGAGGACCTGACATGGTCTCTTCACACCACCACCATCACCAAGAAAGCTCGACAGCGGCTCTTCTTCCTCCGCAGGCTGAGGAGGTTCAAAATGGACTCCAGGATACTCTGCAACTTCTACAGGTGCACCATAGAGAGTATCCTGACTGGCTGCATCACGGCCTGGTACGGCAGCTGCACCGCCCTCAATCGTAAGGCTTTACAGAGGGTGGTGAAAACTGCACAGAACATCACCAGGACGGAGCTGCCATCCATGGAGGACCTTTACTCCCAGCGGCTCAGGAAGAAATCCCTACGGATTATCAAAGACCCCCATCACCCCAGCCACAAACTGTTCTTTCTGTTGCCGTCTGGCAGACGTTACCGCAGCATCTGGACAAAAACAAAAAGATTCTGAGACAGTTTCTTCCCGCGGGCAGTGAGACTGTTAAACAATTGAACTGCTGAAACAATTTCAAAACATTAATCTTCTACTTAGTAATATATATCTACTATCTAATATATATCATTCCAATAACTTGTATATAGACTCGTACTGCACTATTCCACATACTCACTTTATTTTAGAACTATTTTTCTTTTTGTATTACTTTTAATATCTGTATTATTATGTTGCATTGTTGGAGAAGCCTGTGACATAAGATTTTCAACGACATAATTACTCTGTAGCTATGTTTGACAATAAAGAACCTTGAACCTTGAACCTTGAACCTTGAGATGTCCGGTCATCATGTGTGTGTGTTTGTGCTCAGCTCCGCTCTGTGTGTGTTTGTGTGTGTCCGACACCGGCATTTGTTTTCAAATTACCATGAACAGTAATTTACACACATCTGGTTCTCCATAGTTATATGTGTATTCCCAAGTGAAAGAAATTAGTTTAATCTTAATCTCAATGTAGTGCTATAGTCCTGCCGGAGTGCACCGGAACGAACGACACTATCATAAACAAATGCCCACACACACACACACACGCCCTGGCAACCGGACATATTCTTCATAAAACTAATATGGCGTAATAATCGGGCAGTTAAATGTGTTTTACCATAAAAAAAGTATCTTGTGCGAACTAAAAAGTATCTTGTGCGCACAAATTAATAAAACGTGGCCTCGTTTTATTTATTTTTCTCTCTATGAACCCTCCAGGGCTCCGTAGGTTTCTTTCTTCTCTCTTTTTTTTTAATTTAAAATAGTTTTCATAGTTTGCTCCTTTTTTCAAAAACAATGAAATGTACTGTGTATTCATCGCTTTACACCAAAGCTAATTCCTTTAACCTGATTCAGATTTTGTGTTTTTGCCGTTTTAACAAGAATACTCTTCTTGTCCTGGATCAGGTCGTCTTTACCGAGCAGCCTGGAGATCAGACCGGGGTCCGACGGACAGGAGGGGGTGTTTGTGCTGCGCCGCCTTGTCAAGAGGACCCGCTTTGGGCCCTTTGAGGCTAAGAGGGTCCCCCATCCGGAGCAGGAAGGAGCATTCCCTCTGAAGGTGCAGCCTGAGAAGCCCTGAACAGTTTGTGTATCTACTGGTTTTAATTGAATTTATTAGAAATCTCTTTACCCGGGTCAGTCTTGTCCTGTAAAGAAATGTCGGTTAGTTGTAGGATTCATCTACAGCCTTTTTCCTGGTCAAAACCAATTATTTTTCCCAATGTCCTGATTTTTTTTCTGCCTCAAATATATAAATATTTAAAAAATATGACAGTTTCCATGATATGGTTTAGATCAGGGGTGTCCAAACTTTTTTCACTGAGGGCCTCATGCAGAACATTTACAAAGGGCTGGCCCCTCACTAGATGTGAGGTATACTGCCTTAGGTTAAAATATAGGTTAGCAAAATCAATCGAATGTAGGTAAATTATGCTTGATACTAGAACATGCTTTAAGAAAATAATCAGAACAGCTCTCCATAGGGTTTCATTTATTTAGTTACAAAAAAAACTGGCAGCTTCAAGGATTTATTAGAATAAGGGGAAATAGGAAGGGCATATTTCAAGCTTACTATGTAAATAAGTTATTGTTTTTTTTTATCATCTAAGATTTGTTAGAAAATGATTTCAACTTGAATTGACTGAATTTATTTGAAAAGTAGGCTTATTAACACATGAATACTGTGTAATATATTTTACATATATATTAAGAAGTATAATCAAAGTGCATTCTAAATTAAATTTCCTGATTGAATTATAACCATTTTTAAGTTGCACAGTCATCCAACTTAGTAAGAAACACTTGCTGCTCTGAAATGAAATGAATGTGTGCTAACCGGCCGTCCTCCAATGCTCAGATCTTCCAGAAGGACTCCGTGGTGGTGTGTTTGGACTCCAGCAGTGAAGAAGACTGCAACTGGATGATGCTGGTGCGCCCGGCCTCTGAGCACACACACCAGAACCTGACGGCCTACCAGCTGGATGGGGACGTGTACTTCAACACCTCGCAGGTGTGTGTCCATCCTGAACTTGAGCCTTTCAGAATCGTGCTGTGGGTCCAGATTTAGGGATTCATCGGCTCATTTATTTTCTCACACAGGATTGGTGTGAAGTAACTTTTGCTGTTTGATTCCCAGGATGTGCTGCCAGGAGCAGAGCTGAGGGTGTGGTACGGAGCTTTCTACGCCAAGAAGATGGAGAAGCATATGCTTAAGCCTCCACTCCAACCAGCACCTCCACCAGGTAGGTGACATCACAACACAGCAGAGCAGAGGTGGGAGAAGTACTCAGATCTTGTACTTGAGTACAAGTAGAAGTACCAGAGTGTAGGAATACTCTGTTACAAGTAAAAGTCCTGCAATCAAAATTAAACTCAGGTAAAAGTACACTAGTATAAGCATCCAAATATACTTAAAGGGGACCTATCATGCAAAATGCACTTTTGTACGTCTTTTCTACATGAATATGTGTCCCCGGTGTTCCAGGGAACTCACCAAGTGTCAGAAAACACAACCCTCTCTATTTTCCTCCATACCCAAATCTCTAAAAAAGGGGCTGCAACGGATCTGATAAAAACTGATCCAGATTTGAACACTGTCCTGACGTCAGGACGGTGGCGCTACGGCTATTGGGCCAACTCTCCACCTATCAGGGGAATGTTGGGTTGGGCCACGGCCGGCCATTGCCGCTCGAAAGCGCTGGAGACACTGTAGTACATATGCCAGGCCTGTAAGTGGCGCTGTAGTCTGCCACAAAAGCAGCGAAGAAGACTTCCCGCCCATAGTTACCATGGTTACCCTTCTGTTTATTCTCCGCTCTGGCTTTTTTTCTCCCTCCCCGAGGCAAGCGGTTGCTCCCGCTGCTTTAATTCAATGCAATCCCTCCCCGTCGAGGCAAGCACTGTAATTCTCTCCGGTTAGTCCACCAGCAGATGACAAACACCCACCTCTCCGCCTCTTCCAAGGAACGAGGGGACCGTGCGGCAGAGTTTCAGTTTCAGTTACTTTCGCCGGTCAAGATGTCCGTTAAAGTTTAAATCTTCCGGACAAAATTAGAAAAGTGCTGGTCAAAGGTCTTCTTTGTTATTTATTGAGCTTTAAAACAAATGAATAACGACTCTATATAATATAACACGGAGGACGGAGATCTCTTTTTCTCCCCCTCTTCTGACAGCCCAGCAGCTGATCAGAGCACGGCTCACCTCTCCTGCAGGGGTCAGCAGAATCAGACCCGTAGACAGCAAACAGCACATAGAGCGAAATGAGGCATGGCTAAAATGCATGATCTGTTTGGTATTTTGAAAACAGAAACGTATAAATATACCTTATATAGGTATGGCCCTACAATATATCATTTAAATATAGCATGATAGGTCCACTTTAAAGTAGCGACAGTAAAAGTAGTCATTGTGCAGATTGATCCATTTCAGAATAATATATATGATATGTTTTATAATGATTGATCATGAAAGTGTTCTCAAAGCTGGTAAAGGTGCAGCTAGTTTGAATGACTTTGTATACTGCAGGGTAGCTTGTGAATTTACTCCAGGTGGAACTAAAGTCTGATTTAACACTTGATTATATTTCACATCATTCATCCACATCTGTAAAGTAACTAAAGGTATCAAATAAGTGGAGTAAAAGTACACCATTTACCTCTGAATTGTAGTGGAGTAGAAGTACAAAGTAGCAAACAATTGAAATACTCAAGTATTGTACTTAAGTACAGTACTCTAGTAAATGTACTTAGTTACTTCACACCACTGCAGCACTGATGCGTTTCATGGCCACAGTGTGAGTTGCGTCTTATGGATTTTCTCTTTTTTAATTCAGAAGTGACAGAGACCTCTGAGGAAACTGCAGCCTATGTGCCCCCAGTGGCGGAAAATAATCTTGCAGGTGAGTTCATTAAAAACATCGAGCACCTCCATCAGTCCATATTAGAAATGTCCTTTTCTGTGAGTCACAGAGAAGCTAAGTTAAGGGTTGTTAGCTTTACATTGCAGTACATGGAAGTTTCCATCGTTTTCTATCCACATGGTGTCCAGCATGGTGATTTCTGACTGTTAACCCCCCTCTGGCCGGCAGAGAACTCACTGCTCCAAAGTTGTAGTTTCTCCCTCTCCATCACCATGAACATTTTGCACGGCAGCTACTTTACACGACTGTAATCTATATACAATCATATGTATATATGTTTCTGCTACTGTAATATATATATTAGGTATTCTTTCTGGTTCAGGTCCTTTCTGCTGTAGATATGTATATAAACTTGCTGTTTATTGTTTTTATTTTATTTTATTATGTTTATAATTCCAGCTTTTAATTATTTTAATGTCTGCTGTAACAGCATCATTTCCCAGTTTGCGATGAATAAATTATCTATCTATCTTAAAAACATCTTTAAGCTGAGGAAGTGCTGCGTCATGGTAACATGCTCTGATTCCCCTACAGGCAATCTGCTGAGTCATCTTGATGAGGTGAGGACAGCAGCGGTGCTTCCTGTCGACCCGCTCCTGCCCCAAGAGGAGATCCTGGTGGACCCCGAGGAGCAGGAGGGCGGCCCCCCCGCAGCCCAGCCGGCCCCAAAGAGAGCGCAGGGCCGGGGCAGGAGAGCTAAGGGACGCCGGCCTGGAGCCGCTGCTACTGCAAGCAGACACAGAGGTGAGGGTAACAGTCAGACACAGAGGTGAGGGTAACAGTCAGACACAGAGGTGAGGGTAACAGTCAGACACAGAGGTGAGGGTAACAGTCAGACACAGAGGTGAGGGTAACAGTCAGACACAGAGGTGAGGGTAACAGTCAGACACAGAGGTGAGGGTAACAGTCAGACACAGAGGTGAGGGTAACAGTCAGACACAGAGGTGAGGGTAACAGTCAGACACAGAGGTGAGGGTAACAGTCAGACACAAAGGATGAGTGGGTAACCAGGTGCAGACACCGAGGTGAGGGTAACAGTCAGACACAGAGGTGAGGGTAACAGTCAGACACAGAGGTGAGGGTAACAGGCAGACACAGAGGTGAGGGTAACAGTCAGACACAGAGGTGAGGGTAACAGGCAGACACAGAGGTGAGGGTAACAGTCAGACACAGAGGTGAGGGTAACAGTCAGACACAGAGGTGAGGGTAACAGTCAGACACAGAGGTGAGGGTAACAGTCAGACACAGAGGTGAGAGTAACAGTCAGACACAGAGGTGAGAGTAACAGTCAGACACAGAGGTGAGGGTAACAGACAGACACAGAGGTGAGGGTAACAGTCAGACACAGAGGTGAGGGTAACAGTCAGACACAGAGGTGAGAGTAACAGTCAGACACAGAGGTGAGAGTAACAGTCAGACACAGAGGTGAGGGTAACAGGCAGACACAGAGGTGAGGGTAACAGTCAGACACAGAGGTGAGAGTAACAGTCAGACACAGAGGTGAGGGTAACAGTCAGACACAGAGGTGAGGAGAACAGTCAGACACAGAGGTGAGGGTAACAGTCAGACACAGAGGTGAGGGTAACAGTCAGACACAGAGGTGAGGAGTACACAGTAGACACAGAGGTGAGGGTAACAGGCAGACACAGAGGTGAGGGTAACAGTCAGACACAGAGGTGAGGAGAACAGTCAGACACAGAGGTGAGGGTAACAGTCAGACACAGAGGTGAGGAGAACAGTCAGACACAGAGGTGAGGGTAACAGTCAGACACAGAGGTGAGGGTAACAGTCAGACACAGAGGTGAGAGTAACAGTCAGACACAGAGGTGAGGGTAACAGTCAGACACAGAGGTGAGAGTAACAGTCAGACACAGAGGTGAGAGTAACAGTCAGACACAGAGGTGAGGGTAACAGTCAGACACAGAGGTGAGGGTAACAGTCAGACACAAGGTGAGGGTTACCCAGAGGTGAAGTACAGTCAGACACAGAGGTGAGGGTAACAGTCAGACACAGAGGTGAGGGTAACAGTCAGACACAGAGGTGAGGGTAACAGTCAGACACAGAGGTGAGGGTAACAGTCAAGACACAGAGGTGGAGAAACAGTCAGACACAGAGGTGAGGGTAACAGTCAGACACAGAGGGTGAGGAGAACAGTCAGACACAGAGGTGAGGGTAACAGTCAGACACAGAGGTGAGAGTAACAGTCAGACACAGAGGTGAGGGTAACAGTCAGACACAGAGGTGAGAGTAACAGTCAGACACAGAGGTGAGAGTAACAGTCAGACACAGAGGTGAGGGTAACAGTCAGACACAGAGGTGAGAGTAACAGTCAGACACAGAGGTGAGGGTAACAGTCAGACACAGAGGTGAGGGTAACAGTCAGACACAGAGGTGAGAGTAACAGTCAGACACAGAGGTGAGGGTAACAGTCAGACACAGAGGTGAGGGTAACAGTCAGACACAGAGGTGAGAGAACAGTCAGACACAGAGGTGAGGGTAACAGTCAGACACAGAGGTGAGGGTAACAGTCAGACACAGAGGTGAGGGTAACAGTCAGACACAGAGGTGAGAGTAACAGTCAGACACAGAGGTGAGGGTAACAGTCAGACACAGAGGTGAGAGTAACAGTCAGACACAGAGGTAAGGGTAACAGTCAGACACAGAGGTGAGAGTAACAGTCAGACACAGAGGTGAGGGTAACAGTCAGACACAGAGGTGAGGGTAACAGTCAGACACAGAGGTGAGGGTAACAGTCAGACACAGAGGTGAGAGGTAACAGTCAGACACAGAGGTGAGGGTAACAGTCAGACACAGAGGTGAGGGGTAACAATCAGACACAGAGGTGAGGGTAACAGTCAGACACAGAGGTGAGGGTAACAGTCAGACACAGAGGTGAGAGTAACAGTCAGACACAGAGGTGAGGGTAACAGTCAGACACAGAGGTGAGAGTAACAGTCAGACACAGAGGTGAGGGTAACAGTCAGACACAGAGGTGAGGGTAACAGTCAGACACAGAGGTGAGGGTAACAGTCAGACACAGAGGTGAGGGTAACAGTCAGACACAGAGGTGAGAGTAACAGTCAGACACAGAGGTAAGGGTAACAGTCAGACACAGAGGTGAGAGTAACAGTCAGACACAGAGGTGAGGGTAACAGTCAGACACAGAGGTGAGAGTAACAGTCAGACACAGAGGTGAGGGTAACAGTCAGACACAGAGGTGAGAGTAACAGTCAGACACAGAGGTGAGGGTAACAGTCAGACACAGAGGTGAGAGTAACAGTCAGACACAGAGGTAAGGGTAACAGTCAGACACAGAGGTGAGAGTAACAGTCAGACACAGAGGTGAGGGTAACAGGCAGACACAGAGGTGAGGGTAACATAGAGTCAGGCAGGCAGGAGCAGGGACATGTGACAGCACCACGTTTTATTACAGTAGTATTCTGGTTAAATAATCAAGATTCACTTTATTATCTATAATCATGTAAATATGCCTTAAACTCTAAGCAATTCAAAGTCTTTGAATCACTAAACACTTTGTTGAGGAACAATATTTTCAAACCTTTTTAAAAAACAGGTCATCTTATATCAGAAGGTAGAAAGAAAGAAAATAAATAAGTCTGTAACGCTGAGTCCAACAGCTTTTCATATATACTCATGAAGATATCCACGATAATCCTAATAAAGTCAATTCACCACAATTTAATAAATAGTTTTTGAATGTGATCCACAATCAAATCTATATTGTTTCATCCCTCCCTTATTTTTACATTACAAGTGACGGGAAGCGGTTCTTTGAGATGTACTTTTGAACATTTGTTGAACAAAACTTTAATTAAAAATTTGAAATTTTACCAATTTTACCACGGACCACTAGGGGGCACTCGCGGACCACCAGTGGTGCTGAGGAGCACTGTTCTAATATATCAATTTCATCTAAAACATTTTTTTTCTTTTGGTCAGGATCTGTAGTAAAGAAAGATGTGTCTTCATAAGTCTGCAGATATGTACAATAGTGTGTATATACAGTATATATTACTGATTAGAAACCAACCAGAACTATCATGTGTATATGTTCAACATCTATCAATTATTTGAATTATTTCCTTTTTATGTAATTTCAATCAAATCTAGTGAGTTATATTTTCCATATTTTTCCCATGAATAATTGTTTATGTTTATTCTATCTTTATTTATCTAATAATAAATAACTGTGCGCTGCATTTCTTTTCTAAAAAGTGCTGCATAACCAACGTTTATTTTTCTGATACTGCTATTATTATTGATGACTTTGTATTATTATTTGACATTGTGATCCTGATGTGTGCAGATGTGAAGCTGCAGCGCTCGGGGCCCTCAGAGGCAGACGGCAGCCTGCTGAGCTCTGCAGGCAGCGGGGGGGGTCCTGAAGAGACACAAAGCGCGAGAGCACAAGAGGGTGTACCGCTGCTCCCTCTGCAGCAAGGTCTTCCAGAACAGCAGCAACCTCAACAGACACGTGCGCTCTCATGGTGCGTGCATGGAGTTCTGAGTAAGGGGATATATCAATGATTCATGTGTGGAGATCACCTTTTGAGGATTCCCTTCCTGTATGTTCTCACAGGGGATAAGCTGTTCAAATGTGATGAATGTGACAAATTGTTCAGCCGCAAGGAGAGTCTGAAGCAGCACATCTCCTACAAGCACAGCAAGAACATGGTGAGTTCACTGCTCAAGAGGCCCTGACCTGCTTTATGGGCTTTCCTCTCCTGTTGTGGTCTATAGGTGTTAGTGCATGTAAACGGTCTGCAAAGACTAAATCCATGTGTTCCCTCCAGAGGGACTTTCTCTCCCACCGGTCCCTCCCCGTGGAGTGACATCACTAATTAACACTTGCGCTCCTATTTGCTAACACTCCAAACCCATTGTTTATGATAAACTGAGCGGTGGGATATCTCTAAGCGGTTGACCAATCACAACAGAGCCGGTCAGCTAACCAATCAGAGCAGACTGGGCTCTGGTTTCAGACAGAGGGTGAAAAGAGGTGCTGCAGACACAACATACTGATATACACCTGAACATCAGCAGGAGAGGACTCTTTAAAGTAGAGACACTACATACTGATATACACCTGAACATCAGCAGGAGAGGACTCTTTAAAGTAGAGACACTAATACTGATATACACCTGAACATCAGCAGGAGAGGACTCTTTAAAGTAGAGACAATACATACTGATATACACCTGAACATCAGCAGGAGAGGACTCTTTAAAGTAGAGACACTACATACTGATATACACCTGAACATCAGCAGGAGAGGACTCTTTAAAGTAGAGACAATACATACTGATATACACCTGAACATCAGCAGGAGAGGACTCTTTAAAGTAGAGACACTACATACTGATATACAAATACACCCTGAACATCAGGCAGGAGAGGACTCTTTAAAGTACTATACCTGATATCACCTGAACATCAGCAGGAGAGGACTCTTTAAATGCTAAACATCAGCAGGAGAGGACTCTTTAAAGTAGAGACACTACATACTGATATACTCCTGAACATCAGCAGGAGAGGACTCTTTAAAGTAGAGACACTACATACTGATATACACCTGACATCAGCAGGAAGGACTCTTTAAAGTAGAGACACTACCTACTGATATACACCTGAACATCAGCAGGAGAGGACCTTTAAAGTAGAGACACTACATACTGATATACACCTGAACATCAGCAGGAGAGGACTCTTTAAAGTAGAGACACTACATACTGATATACACCTGAACATCAGCAGGAGAGGACTCTTTAAAGTAGAGACACTACATACTGATATACACCTGAACATCAGCAGGAGAGGACTCTTTAAAGTAGAGACACTACATACTGATATACACCTGAACATCAGCAGGAGAGGACTCTTTAAAGTAGAGACACTACATACTGATATACACCTGAACATCAGCAGGAGAGGACTCTTTAAAGTAGAGACACTACATACTGATATACACCTGAACATCAGCAGGAGAGGACTCTTTAAAAGTAGAGACACTACATACTGATATACACCTGAACATCAGCAGGAGAGGACTCTTTAAAGTAGAGACACTACATACTGATATACACCTGAACATCAGCAGGAGAGGACTCTTTAAAGTAGAGACACTACATACTGATATACACCTGAACATCAGCAGGAGAGGACTCTTTAAAGTAGAGACACTACATACTGATATACACCTGAACATCAGCAGGAGAGGACTCTTTAAAGTAGAGACACTACATACTGATATACACCTGAACATCAGCAGGAGAGGACTCTTTAAAGTAGAGACACTACATACTGATATACACCTGAACATCAGCAGGAGAGGACTCTTTAAAGTAGAGACACTACATACTGATATACACCTGAACATCAGCAGGAGAGGACTCTTTAAAGTAGAGACACTACATACTGATATACACCTGAACATCAGCAGGAGAGGACTCTTTAAAGTAGAGACACTACATACTGATATACACCTGAACATCAGCAGGAGAGGACTCTTTAAAGTAGAGACACTACATACTGATATACACCTGAACATCAGCAGGAGAGGACTCTTTAAAGTAGAGACACTACATACTGATATACACCTGAACATCAGCAGGAGAGGACTCTTTAAAGTAGAGACACTACATACTGATATACACCTGAACATCAGCAGGAGAGGACTCTTTAAAGTAGAGACACTACATACTGATATACACCTGAACATCAGCAGGAGAGGACTCTTTAAAGTAGAGACACTACATACTGATATACACCTGAACATCAGCAGGAGAGGACTCTTTAAAGTAGAGACACTACATACTGATATACACCTGAACATCAGCAGGAGAGGACTCTTTAAAGTAGAGACACTACATACTGATATACACCTGAACATCAGCAGGAGAGGACTCTTTAAAGGTCGAGACACTACATACTGATATACACCTTGGACATCAGCAGGAGAGGACCTTTAAAGTAGAGACACTACATACTGATATACACCTGAACATCAGCAGGAGAGGACTCTTTAAAGTAGAGACACTACATACTGATATACACCTGAACATCAGCAGGAGAGGACTCTTTAAAGTAGAGACACTACATACTGATATACACCGAAAAAGATAGACTCTTAAAAGACATACACTGATCACCTGCATCCAGAGAGGACTCTTTAAAGTAAGACACTACATACTGATATACACCTGAACATCAGCAGGAGAGGACTCTTTAAAGTAGAGACACTACATACTGATATACACCTGAACATCAGCAGGAGAGGACTCTTTAAAGTAGAGACACTACATACTGATATACACCTGAACATCAGCAGAGAGGACTCTTTAAAGTAGAGACACTACATACTGATATACACCTGAACATCAGCAGGAGAGGACTCTTTAAAGTAGAGACACTACATCTGATATACACCTGAACATCAGCAGGAGAGGACTCTTTAAAGTAGAGACACTACATACTGATATACACCTGAACATCAGCAGGAGAGGACTCTTTAAAGTATAGACACTACATACTGATATACACCTGAATCACAGCAGGAGAGGACTCTTTAAAGTAGAGACACTACATACTGATATACACCTGAACATCAGCAGAGAGGACTCTTTAAAGTAGAGACACTACATACTGATATACACCTGAACATCAGCAGGAGAGGACTCTTTAAAGTAGAGACACTACATACTGATATACACCTGAACATCAGCAGGAGAGGACTCTTTAAAGTAGAGACACTACATACTGATATACACCTGAACATCAGCAGGAGAGGACTCTTTAAAATAGAGACACTACATACTGATATACACCTGAACATCAGCAGGAGAGGACTCTTTAAAGTAGAGACACTACATACTGATATACACCTGAACATCAGCAGGAGAGGACTCTTTAAAGTAGAGACACTACATACTGATATACACCTGAACATCAGCAGGAGAGGACTCTTTAAAGTAGAGACACTACATACTGATATACACCTGATCATCAGCAGGAGAGGACTCTTTAAAGTAGAGACACTACATACTGATATACACCTGAACATCAGCAGGAGAGGACTCTTTAAGTAGAAACACTACATACTGATATACACCTGAACATCAGCAGGAGAGGACTCTTTAAAGTAGAGACACTACATACTGATATACACCTGAACATCAGCAGGAGAGGACTCTTTAAAGTAGAGACACTACATACTGATATACACCTGAACATCAGCAGGAGAGGACTCTTTAAAGTAGAGACACTACATACTGATATACACCTGAACATCAGCAGGAGAGGACTCTTTAAAGTAGAGACACTACATACTGTTCTACACCTGAACATCAGCCTAATAGAGCCCCTTTAAAAAGTCTCCTGCTAGGTTACGTGTTTATGTGACTTATTTTCATGTTTTCCTGACAGCCTGACCACGATTACAAATATAAATGCAACACGTGTGAGAAATCCTTTCGCCTGGAAAATGCCTTAAAGTTCCACAACTGTCGCACAGGTCAGACAAGCTTCTTTTTTTTGTGGTTTAATTTAAGGTTATCTTGTCTGGTTTCTTTTTGCAAATTGTGATTGCATCCCTGCCAGGCCTTATCTTCTCCTCCTCTCTCCAGACGACAAGACGTTCCAGTGCGATATCTGCTCGCGGTTCTTCTCCACCAACAGTAACCTTTCCAAGCACAAGAAGAAGCACGGAGAGAAGCTCTACTCCTGTGAAATCTGCAACAAGATGTTCTACCGCAAAGACGTGATGCAGGAGCACCACAGGAGGCACGGTGTGGGTGAGAGAGAGAGAGAGAGAGGATCCATTCAGTTCTGTTCATGTTGGTCATGCTCTGTTTTCAGAATGGGAAATGTAGGAGAAATACATAACCGAATGTGGAATACTAAGTTTGTGTTAAGACAAAAGCTAGACAGGTTTTTCTGAGCGCTGCACGTTTTTTTGTGTGTCCACTCCGAGCGATGCTAGATGTCACCCTATTCTTCCTGTGGGATTTGAAGCTCTTTGCTTAACTAATACCATAATGCATCTGGACAGGACCAAAGCACATGAAGAGAGAGGAGCTGGAGGCTAACGGAGAGGAGGGGACCAGGTACAGGAAGGAGCCGTCCCCCTGTCCCATCTGCGGCAAGGTGAGCACTGCACACTGCACAGGAACCCTGAGGGAATAACAAAGTACTTCCTCTGTGACGTGTGTGTGTGTGTGCACAGGTGTTCTCCTGCAGGAGCAACATGAACAAGCATCTGTTGACTCACGGCGATAAGAAGTACACCTGTGAGATCTGCGCACGCAAGTTCTTCCGCGTGGACGTGCTCCGAGATCACATCCACGTTCACTTCAAGGTGAGGCAGAGGGCAACAAACTCCACACACACATTTGTGTATGTACGTTACACAGCTGTAGATTATCTTCTTGCTGACGTAGCTTAGCTATCATCCAGATATAAGGCACAGGCATGAGACCACAGAGAACTCTACTTATATTCCAGGGGTTGTGAATCCATGCCTCTTCTCCAAAACATGTACAAAACCTGAGCCCTTTTTATTATAAAATAGAGCCGGAGCAGCTTTAAGCACATACAGTATTTGTGCTCTATTATTGTGCTAAGATTATATTTCACTTCACTCCACTACCATTTTTAGAGGGAAATAATCTTCTTTCAATGCACTATTTATATTTAATACAGTTTAATTTCTTTCTTGATTCAGATTAATAATACAAAATAAAATCAACAAATGAACAGATATGTATTATTATTGAAGCAAGCCACGTATATTAGAGTATATACAGTTATTCAAATGAACTCCTTCTTTACCAGCTGCAACATTAACGTAATGCATCAATATTTATAATACACACACACACACACACACACACACACACACACACACACACACACACACACACACACACACACACCACAAAAACCCAAACAAACAAAAAAACTCCTCAGAATAGCAATCAAGAATGGAAGAGAACCCAAAATGATCTCTTGCACCCTCATTAAGTGAACCAAGAATTTCAGAATCCAATAATTCCTCAATACGTAGTAACACACTTCTACTATAATAAAATGAATACCAATGCATGACAACACAAGTACTTGTCTGTAAAGCCCTAAGATGGTGTATTTATCTGTATGTTGACATGTTGAGTCTGTCAGTAGCCGATCCTTCAGGTTGTAACCATCAGCCAAATATATCTTGTGGACTCTTATGACTATATTCTCCAGGATCTCTTGTTCCAATTTTTGAAAAGACCTTTTATTGACCGTTTTCTACCGTCACTATGGATTTGAAATAGTTCTTTGGATCCTACATTTGTAGTAAACTTGGTTTGGCCCCCTCTCTGGATGTTATGTGTGAGCTGAATGATTTCATAGAGTGGTGTTTGTTGCAGGATATAGCTTTGATGGACGAGCAGGAGAGGGAATGCTTCATCAAGAAGATCGGCATCTCAGCGTGCGACAGCGACGACACGGACGATGAAGAGGAGGAGGATGATCCCGAGCACCACAAGTACAACTGCAAGAAATGCCAGGTGAGTCTGCACACTTCCAAACACACTTCTTTATCTTATCATATCCAGCTGATTCAGAGGGTAGAAGCATGTTCTTGAATATAAATGTTTTGTCTTTCCCCAGTTATCTAGAGCAGAGTTTTCATCAACATGCCCAAGGCTGTCTGATTAAACAGTGAGGAGCAGAGATTAACAAAGACAATTGTTCTACTGTGTCTCTAGCTGTCATTTGCAAAGGGCAGAGAGTACCTGAAGCACATCCTGGATCAGCACAAGGAGCGAGGCTACGGCTGCGGGATCTGTAACCGCCGCTTCGCCCTGAAGGCCACCTACAACGCTCACCTGGTGATCCACAGAGAGCAGCTGCCGGACCCTGCCGTGCAGAAGTAAACACAAACATCTTCCAACTCTCACTTTTAGTTGTTGTCTATATGTTTGTTTAGCCTTGTCCAGGCAAGCTGAGTGTTTGGATAAGCATGGAGACAGGAGGTCTGCTGTCTGCTGATGATATAGAACAATATTACTTACACTACTTTCAAGTTGCTGATGAAGAGTCCATGTGAAAACTATTTTCATGTCCTCAAATATACTTATCACAAACTGGGAGAGGAAGATCAAGAGAAGCAGACGGGTTAGAGAATGGATTTGAATGGAACTATATATTTAACAAATATGTTGCTAATCAATGTAAACCTAGTGTTATCACTGTTTAGAAGGTACAGGACGGACTATTGTTGAACTATAAAATGAACAATCTGCAGTATAGTTTTTGTAATAATTAGTAATCTGCTCATGTGTCCTAAAGGTACATCCATCCGTGTGAAATTTGTGGCAGAATCTTCAACAGCATCGGTAACCTGGAAAGGCACAAGATCATCCACACTGGTGAGCAGCACAGACCCGGGACAATATGTTCCAATGCATGTGAACTTTCCTCAACTCATGCTCCTATTGGCTAGCGCTACAGCACATTGCACGTGATAAGCTAAGGGGCGGGACATCTCTAAGCGGTTGACCAATCACAACAGAGCCGGCCAGCTAACCAATCAGAGCAGACTGGGCTCTGGTTTCAGACAGAGGGTGAAAAGAGATGCTGAAGCACAGGCAGTATGAGAGAGATAAAGAGCTTTTTGAACATTAAAGCATGAAGACATGTCCCAGTAGAGGAACAAACTGCAGAGGGGCTGTGATCATGAACCATGAATATTGATTTAACCATCTGATGGGGGGTCTCTTTAAGTCTTGGGATGATAGTTGCATGTTTTAATCAAGAGTGTACTTCACAAAGTTCCAACGATCTAAACAAATATATATATATGTGCTTGGATTGACCCATTCTGATAATGCTCTGCGGGATGTAAGCATAAAGTATAATGTTGCCATGGGGATTGTGAGTAAGCTGTGAGCTACACCTTAGCTTGTCTCTTTTTTTATTTTTAGTGCATTTAAATGGACGTTAATGAAATAGTTAATTGGGTTGCCTCTCACATCTATGGGTTGTTTTTGATGGAAATAGAAGCAGTGATTATACACATGTGCCATGTTATTCTTCCAGGGGTGAAGAGCCACGGCTGTGATAAGTGTGACAAGTCATTCGCAAGGAAGGACATGCTGAAGGAGCACCTTAGGGTGCACGACGACATCCGGGACTTCCTGTGTGCAGAGTGTGGGAAAGGTGAGCTCCATCCCCGTGTTACCTTCTCTCCCTGTGCAGAAACACAGCACTGTTGGGATCATCATAAAGAGGGTCTTTTCTGCTGCAGGCATGAAGACTAAGCACGCTTTGAGGCACCACATGAAGCTCCACAAGGGCATCAAGGAGTACGAGTGCAAGGAGTGCAGCCGCAAGTTCGCCCAGAAGGTCAACATGCTGAAACACTACAAGAGACACACAGGTCAGTCCGATGTGTGGTACTGGTTCACAAAGAAAGTATAAACAAGGGCATTTGATACACGTAGAACCTACACTAGAACTGCCACAAATGTTTACCTCATAATGCAATTCACAACTGTAATCGCACACAGGTCATTTCTAGAAGTATTGTGAACAAGTAGGTTTGATTTGACACATTTTTAAAGCTCTACCTATTTTACAATTGTTATTTTTCAAATTACAGACAGAATCATTCATTATACGAACTAGTGCAGTGCCCGTTTAAAACATGTCTGAAGGCTCGGCCTGTGCTCCGCTGGCAGCTTTCTCTTTGAGACAATTTCACACCTGGAACGGTAGGCTACTGCCGGGGCCCCAAACAGCTATATTTATTAGAAAGTGTAGATACGGAAAATATTGAATTATGTTTCTATTCCAACTAAATGTTCCCCGAAGTAACTAACATGAAGCTCCCAAAGCACTTCAACTATGAAACTCATCTGTAGACTAACTAGCAGTGTACTTCTACTACAGTAACTTGACAGAGGGATGTTACTGGTTACATCACAGATTCAGATTTCTCACAAAATAAAACCATTCAAATATAATCCATTATTATTCTGAACAATTGAAATATCAATTCTCCCCACCTTTTCCAAAGAGTGAGATGTTGAAGAAGGACATAAGCTTTTGAGCTTTTGCCTGGAGTTTGAATCCCATTGTGCCCGTGGCTGTGCTGGTGTCATAGACCGAGAGACGGGTTGCTTTATGTGACTGTTTGACATTCTGCCTGCAGGTATAAAGGACTTCATGTGTGAGCTGTGTGGAAAGACGTTCAGTGAGAGGACGACTCTGGAGACGCACAAACTCATCCACACAGGCAAGTCCTCACACCCTGCTGCTCCACTCTACACTGTTCTCTACATGGGACCACATGGAGGGGTTAGGGTTGGACAAGAACTAGTGAATGCAGCCAGAAAAAAAACGTTTTAATGTGAGACAGTTGAAGGCTGGAATAAGGATTGGTTGGGAACAGACGGTATGACCTACATGCTATGTTATTATCTCCATGCTATATTATTATCTCCATGCTATATTATTATCTCCATGCTTGTGAAGTTTGAGGCCCAGAAACTATATAGGATAGTACATTAATTATTCTGATCAAAATTATTTGTATTACGTTTCGACAATGCATAAGTAATGTTTGTCATTTAGAAGTGGAAAGCAAAATATATGCATACAAATGAGACAATGGTTCTGATTGCATTTACAAAGATAACAAATAATTACAAAGAACACCATCAAACAATAACAACTAAAGTCATCTCCTACATTCACTGCCAGTGAGCCTCATACACACGATTATTCACCAGTCATATATCTGTATGTAATGCATATACATACATAATCATACATACACACATACACACATATGCTGCAGATAAGCTATACCAATAGCAGATCGTCTTACAGAGTGTGGAATGCATTTCAAACAAAAGGTTCCCAGGCTTCCTGAAATGTCCTGTTTGAGTATAGAAGTGAATATCTGATCTTTTCAAGTTTCATGCAGGACATAACGTCTGCCAGCCACTGTGAGTGAGTGGGCGGGACACTGTCCCTCCACTTAAGCAGGATGGCTCAACGAGCTAGGAGGAGAGCAAAGGACAGATCGCCGGCGTTCTGCAGTTAAATGCATCTCCTTTCCAAATACATAGTACATGAATTATTAACAATATCATTCAAGTATAGTACAGAAGTCAAAACACAGGTATAGAAATATTGAGCCGCTTTCTATTTCAGTTAAATTAATGAACTATCTAAACAGTATTGTTTTATCTATTCATAAATAATTCATATTTTGCAAGTTTGGGGAATAGGTCTTAAGGTTATTATTATGATTTGATGTTATATTTGTATTTATAAATGACAAAGGAATAGATAAATTGTGTGTGTGTGTGTGTGTGTGTGTGTGTGTGTGTGTGTGTGTGTGTGTGTGTGTGTGTGTGTGTGTGTGTGTGTGTGTGTGTGTGTGTGTGTGTGTGTGTGTGTGTGTGTGTGTGTGTGTGTGTGTGTGTGTGTGTGTGTGTGTGTGTGTGTGTGTGTGTGTGTGTGTGTGTGTGTGTGTGTGTGTGTTCAATACAACTGGTGCTCTTTGACCTGCAACCATTCTCTCTGGGTAGATAACCCTCCCCAACATGTATTAGATATGTCTTTAGTCACAAAGCAAATGTTCATCTCTCCATTACAAAATGAAATGCATCACATTAAGTGTAAAGGTCATTTTAGGGTCAGAACAGTAAATGAGATGAACAGCAGACTGACCCCCCCCCCCTCTCTGCAGTGGGGAAGACGTGGACGTGTGCGACCTGTGATAAGAAGTACCTGACGGAGTACATGCTGCAGAAGCACGTCCACCTGACCCACGAGAAGGTGGAGGCCCAGTCGTGTCACCTCTGTGGGACCAAGGTCTCCACCCGCGCCTCCATGAACCGACACCTGCGGCGCAAACACCCCGAGGTGAGTCACAGCGGGAGGTGAGTCACCCCCCCCCCCCCCAGGCCATCTGCTGGTATTCCCTCCTGAATGTGCTTGTTCTCCTGGTGCTGCAGGTGGTGTCTGTGAGGATGGATGAGTTCGATGATCTCCAGGAGCCCTCCACCATCAGCGACTCCATCAGCCTCGTGCAGGTCAGATCTCATCAGCTTGATAATACTCAAGTGACAATGTGTTTGATTTCAAATTCTTTGTTTTCTAACTTGTTTTTGATCTAAACATCTCAAAAACAAACATACAAAGTTTCCATATGTTCATACTTTTGGGTCTTCTGCTGCACCGATAATGAAACACTTCTAGTGCGTGTGCACATCTTAAATACCAATACAGAAACAATTGACAACATAGAGTATAAATGCAGCAGACAAAGTCAAAAGAAAACCCTGCATAGTCTTGTATATTAACGACTAAGGGGAGAGGACACCATATCAATACATGAATCAATATAACAAGGTACGATGGTATAGGACCTGGCCTTGATTATATTTAGTTAAGTATATACTAAACACTACATTACCGTAGAAGCAGAGGCCTTACAGGCAGGCATCTCTTTAGAATTGTGTAGGGTTCTAAAATATATTTGTATAACTTTCCAGTTCTAAACTCCCTCCAGATATTAAGATTGATTTAAAGCTACTTTTGCATAGTTTACAGATCTGAATCTGAAGCTAAAAGGATGTTGAGGTCTTGTACATCGCTGGCTTCCAACCGAGGGGTCGAGCAGGCTCTGGAGCAGCTACAGTATGTGTGAGGGGAAGTGAATAGAACAGTGCTGTTGTTTGAAATGAAAGCCTCTCATGATAAGGGCGCTGTAAGCACCTGAACATAAACGTCTATAGTCACAGAAGTTAAGCAATGAAAATAATATCAAAGATGTCACTTAGTCAGGGGTCGTCACTTTAAGCAATGATAGAAAAAGGCCCTCTTGTTTCTTTTAGCTTAGCATCCTTGCAGGGTAGTACCAAACAGTTTGGGCGATGTACACTTTTCCAATAACTCCAGACCATCCAAGAAGTCCAAATCCATTTAGAAATATAGATGTAATTAATACAGACTTTCAAAATCAACCAATGAACCTCACTCAAACAAACGGTCTGCTCTCCCTCTGGCCGCACACTGAAGAATGTTCTTCAAAGAAAGCTGATTTAATACTCACTTTCCAAATCCCATGAATACATTCAAATAAAGGATTCTGTTCAAGGGATGATGTCATCCTTAGCTTCATTAAAGGTCAATACAAGTTTTGAATAAAACAAATGTATATACTGTATACCTGCACAGCCTTAACTCCTGGTGGTGCAAGGAAGTATGCTTATTGGTCACTAAATATGTAACCATCAGAGTATGAGCAGTGAGTCAGCGTTACCATGACTACCTCTGCGCTTGGTGTTACTCTCCTCCTGTGTGACATGTCTGCAGTAAGATCTAGAATCTGTTCTCATGATGTTTCCTTCCTCCTCAGGCCTCAGACGGGCTGCCTCAGGAGAGGACCGGCCGGGCCCCCCGGAGGAGGCACAGAGTCCCCGCTGAGCCGGAGCTCTCCGAGTCTGACGAGTACGTGGACTACAATGAGACAAGGCACGAGCCGATCGAGTTCAGCGCCGTCATCGTGGGAGACGAGACGGAGACCAGCTCTGCTGTGCAGAGCATCCAGCAGGTACAGGACATGATCACTAACGTTTGTTCTATTGTCACAATAACATGTTGGATATCTATTTATCAAAAGCCACAACAAATGAGCTTGTGCCAGGATACAGCAGCTGCTCACTTCCTGTTTACAGCAGCCATGATTTATGCTCTGTGTTACTGCGAGCTTCACTTTATATTTGTTGATTGTGGTCAAAGAAAAGATGCACATTTGATTTCACAAGTAACTAACTTGTAATAAAATGTCCCTCTAAAAGGTTATTAATGAAATAAAACCTGTGAGGGTTCAATGTAAAAGAAACAGGACATTTGACATATAATGTCCAAACATCACACTAACATATTAACCATATTAACCATAGGAAATAAGTCCTAAAATGCATGTTGTAATATCTACATAGAGTAATGTCATTTTAATTTTTTCAAATAAATGAAAGACCGATGTAGCATCCAGTAACAAGTCATAATGGACAGTTGGATGTAATGTTGCTATTGCTTACCGTATATTTCTCTGATTCCTGGAGGTTGTTGATCCATCACATCATCCAAAATATATAATAACTGTAACAAATGTGGTACAATGCTCTTAGTAGTCTTTAGAAAAACTGCAGAATTGTTTAAATATAAGATAAATATCATAAGTATATACATATATTTACGTCTTTTGGATGAATTGTGTAAAGTTCCTCTCGCGTTGGGACTGAGCAGAATGTCTGACCTCTCTGAACCTGTCTCTGACGTGCTGCTGTTCCAGGTGGTGGTCCTGGCGGACCCCGGTGCTCCGTCAGCCTCCCCCAGCAGCTCGGGGGGGCTGACCAACATCACGGTGACCCCCATCAGCAGCCACCCCCCCACCCAGTTCACCAGCCTGCAGCCGGTTGCCGTGGGTCACCTGACGGCCGGCGAGCGGCCCCTCAGCCTGGACAGCTCCATCCTCACCGTCACCTTCGACACGGTCAGCGGCTCCGCCCTGCTCCACAACCGCCCCCCCGAGCTGGTCCCGGAGACGGTGGGGCCCGGGGGGGGCTCGCAGTCCGTGGCCCACTTCATCAACGTGACCACGCTGGTCAACCCCCTGGGCCAGCTGGAGGCCTGGAGGCCGGTGCCTGAAGGACAGGTCACCCACATGGGGGAGGGGGCTCAGGGGGGGAGTCAGGAGGCCCAGGGTCAGGGAGAGGGGGGCCGCCCCGTGCAGAGCCACCCCCCCCCCCATCAGAGCGGCTCCACACAGATGTTCAGCTACTAACAGTGAGGTGCTGGCCGCCTCACTGGGAGCAGCAGATTTGATCAGACTGTACAGAGACCCTCACCCAATGCCTCTCCGCCTGAATGACACATGGTTTCCCTTTTTATACTGACAGTGGCTGATAATAATGAACATTATAATAAAAAAGAGAAATGGTACATTCAGCCAAAATCACTGACACGCTGATTTACGTTTCAAACCAAAGCAACATGTGGAACATTGAAATGCCTTACCAGCTTTCTTAAAACGTGCATGTTTTCAAGATACATTTGCTGCTGGAAAAATGAAATATGAAAATATACTAACACTTATTCCTAAAGTGTCCCATCTAAATGTTATTTTTGAATGCTGTCAACTGTAATTATTGTGGAACCGCTGGAAAGAATACTGGAGTTTTTGAACTGTTATTTTTTAAACAAAATTCCTCTTTAAATGTTTATTTGATTTGTCTTCATTTCATTTGAGATTGTGTGGAGCAGTTCTAACTGCTGCTTACAAGCGGCATGGCACAAGGCACCTGAATCCTGAGCAGGTGTTAATGGAACGAATGCATCAGAAACGAAGAATGAACAAACAGCTGAATCTCTAAAAAGTGATTTCTGAAGACGTACCCTCCAGAGAGATGAATCAGAACAGATCACAGCATCCACAGCAGAATGACAAAGCATTCCAATCCATAGTAGGAAAAGAAACCGGGCCTAATGGAAGAAATGATTAGATTTTCACACTAAGACTAATGTTTACTAAATAAAAATTCTCTTGTTTTTTATGTGGTACACATTTTTATACTTTATTCTCAAATTTATTTTCTTCACCATTTTCTATTTTAAGAGGAAATGCACAAAACTCTGAAGTTGTCTTTATTTTGTAAACTCTGTATTGGGGTGTCATATTTAGGTATGGACTCTATTGGTTTTCTTTTCTATCAGATTCTTGTCACGTGCATCATGATGATCAGAAACCGTTTGATTTCTAAATCAACGCGGCTGACCTGGGTGTTGTCCTCCTGTAAGCAGAGGTTGCTGAAGCATGAAGGAATGTTCAACAGACAGATATAAAAGCCTTTCTGTGCCAGTCTCATCATGAGATCAGATAATGGCACAGGAAGCTTTCCAAATAAAAGCAGTGGAAGTGAAGAGATGGTGTGGAAGTGAGATCCAGAGACAAACTGTATGCTGACTGGAGTCAAATATCTAATATAAAACAAAACTGGTATACTTTTGGTATGTTCACATTTAGAAATGTCAAAAACTGGCAACAACACGATGGATAACCTTTAACAGTTTAATATTTAGTACTCCACATTCAGTCCCTACATACTTTTCATATGTAATGTTTAAACAGCTGGTTTTAGAGCAGGGAGAAATGTTTCATCTAGCATGTACCTCCACTGAAAAAAAGGATAAAGTAACAATAGTAATATTGTGGCTTTGTTTTTATGAATATATTTTCATAAATATATGTAGTTGCAGGTTCAGCACTCTCATCATTCTTATCACAGAACTGAATGCTCTACTATGAAATGTCCAGTAGATGGTGCTAAAGACATTGTAACAGTAATAATAGTTTAAAGGGGACCTATCATGCAAAATGCACTTTTGTACGTCTTTTAAACATGAATATGTGTCCCCGGTGTTCCAGGGAACTCACCAAGTGTCAGAAAACACAACCCTCTCTCTTTTCCTCCATACCCAAATCTCTAAAAAAGGGGCTGCAACGGATCTGATAAAAACTGATCCAGATTTGAACACTGTCCTGACGTCAGGACGGTGGCACTACGGCTATTGGGCCAACTCCACCAATCAGGAGGAGACAACCACGGCCATTGCCGTTCGAAAGCGCTGGAGACGCTGTAGTACATATGCCAGGCCTCTAGATGGTGCTGTTGCTCACAGAATCAACCCTTGCAAAAACAGAGCTAACATTTTTCAAATTGAGCAAAATGAGGCATGGCTAAAATGCATGATCTGTTTGGTATTTTGAAAAGAAAAAAGTATAAATATGCCTTATATAGGTATGGTCCTACACTATATTATTCAAATATAGCATGATAGGTCCACATATTCACCATTACTTGAGTAAAATACTTCCAATAGAACTCTTAAACAGTGAAGAAAAACCCAAAATAAAATGTTTTTTATATTTTCCAGCACATCGGTGAATCAGCAGCTCAGTATGAAATGTAATGGAGATTATTAAAGAGCCATTTCCCGAACATCAGCAGCTGATTTCTTGAGGTCCTTTGTTTGGCCACACACACGCTCAAAGAAGAAACTCAATAAATGGTGCGATAAAGCAAACACTTTTGGAAATGCTGCACAACAAATAAGACGCCAGCACATACCTGAGCTGCATGCTGCCACACGCTCAGATTCACTGTGTGGCGTTCAAATCAACTCTGAGGTTTGTTTATCTGACGATCATTGACAGAAAGAGAAAGTATTCAAAACATTTAAGTACAAGTATCTCAAAATGATACTTAAGTAAAAGTACCAAAAAGATACTTATTACAAGGAAATGTTAGGCATGAGAAAAAGTGCAGAAGTATCAGCAACAACCTTGAAACAACATCTTAAAGTATATATTCAAAGTGAAAGTACTCATGATGCAGAATGGCTACTATTACTACTATATAACCATATATAAGGGCCATTATAATGAAGGATGTGAGCAGTCATTTTGTCATTGGTCAACGTGGAGCTGAATTTAACAGCTTCATATACTTTTAATCTCTAATAATATATCATATATTTTGTGTGTAAATACTTAATTTAAAAAGTGAATGGTAACAGAAGCTATCAAATAGATAAAGCAAAATAAAAAGTTCGATTTTTTCTCTGAAATGGAAATACTCAAGTTAAATACAAGTACTCACAATTGTAATAATGAGGATCCAAAAAAAGGTAACTGTATTCACTTACAGTTACATAAGAGATGTAATCAGATTACTGTTACATTAAAAAAAAAAAAAAAGGATTACTATCCAGATTACAGTGTTAGTAAAACCTAAAAAGAGCATATAGTGTTTGTTGTAAAGGATCAGATGTTCTCTCTTCTCTGTAAACTGTACTGTTCTGTAGGATAATACTTTACGTGTGAATCTATACGATACTGCCTGAATCTGCTTTATGGTTTTCACTTTCTTTGCTTCATTTGTTCTGCTTTTAATTCAGCAGGTGAACCTATATGTTCATTAAATAGTGTGTGTGAGCTTAACTGTGTGTGTTAAACTAAAATGGAGCATTTCCTGTCAGCTCAGATTTTATTTCTGCTTTTTCAAACCGTAGTATGTGCTCATGTGTTTCATGTGCTCATAGGCTGCTGCCTGAATTAATGAAAGGCAGCTTTTCCTATAAATGAAATCATTTCTGATCCTAAATATCTTGGTTTCTTCTTTTCTAAGGTCACAATGTTCTGTTGTCTTACATAATACACTTAATTAAAAAACATCTTGTTTTTATTTATTTTTCTCTTGTATTTATTTGCATTGCATTTTATATTTAAGTAATCCAAAAGTAACTGCAAGTAATCAGGTTACATTACTTTTATATTTTCATATTTAGATTAGGTTACTGATTTCTTCCTGAATTTTGACAGGTAACTAGAAATTGTAGCAAAATGCAGGTACAGTACCAGAGTAAATGTACTTAGTTACTTTCCACTATGGCTGTTTTTATAATCCATCATTGAGTTTATAAAATGATTTATCATGAATGAATCCCTGAATCTGTCCCTCATGCCGACTGATGCTTCAGACCTGTAGAGCTCCAACAGAAGGAGTGAGGTGAGGAGTGGACGCTCCTGATTTATTCTAAAACGTGCTCTGATCAAAGCTCCATTCTCATGGATCAGCAGGTGTGATGCTGCCCCTCAGAACATTTACACTTCACATGAGGGGGGGGGGTCTCGTTCACACCGCCCGGCACTTTCACCTGCTATCTGCTGTTCATGGTAATGTCTGTGTGTCTGCAGAGTGTGTGTGTGTGTGTGTGTGTGTGTGTGTGTGTGTGTGTGTGTGTGTGTGTGTGTGTGTGTGTGTGTGTGTGTGTGTGTGTGTGTGTCTGCAGAGTGTGTGTGTGTAGTGTACAGAGTGTGTGTCTGCAGAGCCTCAGGGGACACTGATCTGAGTGCAGTGACAAGATCCAGCAGCCTGTTCCTTATCGACCAATCAGATCTGCTTATTCTCTCAACTGATGACATATTTACTTGAATAGCTCGTCCTTCCAGTTTGCTATTTAAATCTGCGGGGGGGCTATGATGAGATAATGTGTTATGCCGGAGGTGAATAGAGAGGAAGGCTTTTAGTGGCTGATCACCACAAAGCCAACATTACAGAATAAATACCTGTGTTTGTGAAGAGGCAGTAACGTGTGTGTATCCTCTTGTATGGTTCACACCAGAGATGGAATGTAACAAAGTACATTTACTCAATAATTATACACATTTAAGGTCCTTGTAGTTTACTTGAGTATTTTCTTTTCATGACAATTTATACTTCAGCTCCACTTGGAACATATATAATAACGTTTTACCGTACTTCATTCATTTTACAGCTTTAGTTACTAGTTACTTTCTGGATACAAATTCTTGCAAGAGTTTATAAAAATATAATATTTGATTATAAACTAAACTAGACAGCAGTCTGTACAAGAACAGATTGGTCGTATAATCAACTATCCAAATGAAAGATAATGAATAAGCCTCCATGAACAGGACTATGATGTCATTTTCTATTTTAATTGAAATTGTTTTGATTTCATTTAGATGTTTCTGTCTTTGGAAGTTTTACATTAAATACTTTTACTACATTTCGGATTTTACTTACTGACTTTTATTAAAGAAATAATTTCCAATGCAGGACTTTGACTTCTAACAGAGTCTTTTTACAGTGTGGTGTTAGTACGTTTACCTTAAGAGCTTTACAGTCATTTACATGTAGATCATCTCGTCAATCAAAAACATTTGACATGCACATTGAAGAAAATGCAAACAGACACCCAGGCCGAGAAACAAGCAGTGGAAACATCTGGAAAGGTCATCACATAACTTTAAAGAGATGCTCGAGAAAATAAGGAGGGTGGGGTCAGAGAGGGTCTGAATATTTCAGAAGAGCAAAGTGTATCTATTCACTTTTTCTGATCACGAGTCTCTACACCGAGCCAGGTGATTGGATGGACAGTCAAACCTCTGATCCTACATCATCATCAAAGTCATATCTGATGAAGGGGCCAGGGTGCTCTGGTCCCTCAGAGGGTCCTCGTCAATCATTATGTATCTTTAATAACTGCCTAGAATATTTACCATTGTGTACCACTTTCCTTTTTTATTTAAACATTATATTTTCTAACATTTGGACTGTCGATTTTGTAAATGTATTATCTTTTCTAATAATACAACCTCCCCCCGAGGTCTATTCAGTTTTTCCCCATTAACTGTTGGGTGACTTTATTCTTTGAGATGGTAGGGTTTTGCACTCTGGGGGGGGGGTTCAAAAAAGAAATGCAGTCAGGCGTTAGTTTTAATTAAAGAAATGATCGATACCCCCCTCCCTGCCAAAACAACTGTTCCATACGTTTAACCATCATGTCTTTGGAGCCCCATGCTGCCTCAGTGATAATGAAGCAGGTGTTCCATACACTTTGTAAGACATTAGGGCCTAAAGACATCTGATGTCTCACTATCAGGGAAGATTTGTTTGTGTACGCTGTGATTCCTTATATTTATGTAATCTTATCAAACAGAACAATCTGAGATACGGCTGCTTTAACC